CAATTATTTTACTGGATCCTGTCACACATATCAGAGAGTAAACCTTAGCGGTATTAAAGATAAAATGAAAAACATTTAAATAACAGTGTGGTTTAAATTCTTCAGAATCAGGGGCAGGTAGGTGGCAGAGTGAATAGAACTCTGGCCTTGGAATCAGGAGGACCTGAGTTCAAATCCAGCCTCAGACACTTAACACTTACTAGTTGTGTGACCCTGGGCAAGTCACTTAACTCCAATCGCCTCACCAAAAAGCAAAAAAAAGAAAGAAAGAAAGAAAGAAAAAATTCTCAGAATCACTAGATTTATAATAATTTAAATACATTATATAGTTCATTTTGATTACATTCCAAATATTCTTAGGCCTTGTGAACTATTAGTGTTTTCAACTCATGTAAAATTTTTTTCAGTTTAAATAAATAAATGGCCAGGCAGGCAAATAAATAAATAAGTGTTCTTGGGGTGTCTGGCAGACTTGACTTTTTTCTTCAGTGGTTAGATTCAGTGAGTCTACAAGAGGAGTCAGTGAGACTGAGCAGCTCTGCTCTTTAAACAACTTCTCATAAGCACTCAAAAAATCCTTTACCTCTGTTTAGCTGGCTATGAAAGTCTTTCAGAGCAGGTGGTCCATAGTCATGGTGGTCCCTGTCAGATATTGGATATCCTGAGGCCAAAGACTATGGAAGAAACTTTTAACTGTGGGAGAAAATAAATCTATATTTTATATTTTAGGCACAAATCTGCCAGAAACAACTTTATTAATTAAGTAATTCTAAGCAGCTCTGCTTAGAAAGAAAATCCAAAGGGACAGAAATCCATTTTACCTTTGAAAATTCTCCACCTAAGCCTTTTTTGAGTTAGACAAATATAATCAAGGTCTGACTGATGGGGACAAAGTCTAAGATTCATTATATAGAACAATAATGCCTTAGCTTTTGGTGCCCCCTGAGAGATTAATTTTCCTGAATTATTCAGTCCCCTTTTATCCCCTACCTCTAATAATTTCTTTTTTTCTTTATCCTGGAAAATACTTCTATTCTAATTATTCAAATTTTTTCCCCCTTTTCTTTGACTTGATGATGATGTTCAGTCATTTTCAGTTGTGTCTGATTCTCTATGACCCCATTTGGGGTTTTCATGACAGATATACTGGAATGGTTTGCCATTTCCCTCTCCAGCTCATTTTTATAGATGAGGAAACTAGGGTAAACCGGGTTAAGTGACTTGCAGCTAGTAAGTGTCTGAGGCCAGATTTGAACTCAGGAAGGTGAGTCTTCCTGACTCCAGGCCTGGTGCTCTACTCACTATACACCACCTAGCTGCCCTTTTTTGACTTACCATTACCCTGATTCAGTCAAGGCTTTTGTGGAAAGGAACTCCTGCTTTTATATGGATTCATTAAAAGCCTTCCACTCTAATATGATTACCATCCTAATTTTATCTTCCCTAAATTTTGCTTTAGTTTCCCTTTTGTAAAGGATATTAAAAGAATTTTAGACTGGCGTGTTGATTACATGCTGACCAGATTTTCTTTTCAGGGGGAGCTTTTGACTAAAACATTTTCCTAAAATTATTTTGCAAAATATTGCCTAAAGAAGGGAAAAAGTGGATTGGGGATAAGGGGAAGAGGGTATCAGAACACTTCCATACCTGTTTATAAAATGTCTTCCAAATAGGACTTTAGAATGGTTGCTTAGCATCTTGAAGATTGGGGGAAACTAGGTGGATAGAGCACCTGCCCTGAAGTCAGGAGGACCTGAGTTCAAATCAGGCCTCAGACCAAACGCTTGACATTTACTAGCTGTGTGACCCTGGACAAGTCCCTTAACCTTAATTGCCTAAAAAAAAATAGAATCTTGAAGATTAAGGAAGAGGAAGTGTACTGCTACTACTTTTTCCCTTATCTTTTCCTCTAATTTTTTTTAAATATTATTAATTTATTTTGATTTATCAACAATCACTTCCATATGCTTTTGAGTTGAAAATTTTTCTCCCCCTTTCTCCCCCTCACCCTCCCCAAGACGGCGCACAGTCTGATATAGGCTTTATGCTTACATACCCATGAAACATATTTTCACATTAGTGAAGTTGTAAGTAAAAATTAAAACCAATAGGGGGAACCGTCAGAAAGATGAAACAAAACTCAACAGAAGGTAAAAATAAGTGATACCGATTCGACTTCAATAGTTCTTTCTTTGGATGTGGATAGCATTTTCTATCCCGAGGCCTCTGGAGATGTCTTAGATCCTGGTAATGCTCAGAAGAGTTCAGTTTAACAATATTAGTCATCGCATAACGTAGCTGTTATTGAGTACAAAGTCCTCTTGGTTCTTCTCACTTCACTCAGCATCAGACCATATAAGTCTTTCCAGGTTTTTCTGAAGTCAGCCTGTTCATCATTTCTTATAGCACAATAGTATTCCATTACATTCATATACCACAACTTGCTCAGCCATTCCCCAGTTGATGGGCATCCTCTCCATTTCCAGTTCTTTGCCACCACAAAAAGAGCTGCTATGAATATTTTTGTACATGTGGGTCTTTTTCCCATTTGTTTGATCTCTTTGGGATATAGCCCTAGAAGTGCTACTGCTGGATCAAAGGGTATGTACATTTTTGTAGCCCTTTGGGCATAGTTCCAAATTGTTCTCCAAAATGATTGGATCATTTCACAACTCCACCAACAGTGTATTAGTGTTCCAATTTTCCCACATCTTCTCCAACATTTATCATTTTCCTGTTTTGTCATGTTGGCCAATCTGATTGGTGTGATATGGCACCTCAGAGTTGTTTTGATTTGCATTTCTCTAATCAATAACAATTTAGAGCATTTTTTCATATGACTATAGATGGCTTTAATTTCTTCATCTGAGAACTTTCTGTTCATATCCTTTGACCATTTATCAATTGGGGAATGACTTGTATTCCTATAAATTTGACTTAATTCTCTGTATATTTTAGAAATGAGGCCTTTATCAGAAAGACTGGTTGTAAAAATTCTCTCTCCCAGTTTTCTACCTTCCTTCTAATCTTAGTTGCATTGGCTTTGTTTGTACAAAAACTTTTTAATTAAATGTAATCAAAATTATCCATTTTGCTTTCCGTAATGTTCTCTATCTCCTGTTTGGTCATGAATTCTTCTGTTCTCCATAGATCTGATAGGTAAACTATTCCTTGTTCTCCCAGTTTACTTATGGTATCAGCCTTTCTATCTAAGTCATGAACCCATTTTGACTTTATTTTGGTATATGGTGTGAGATTTGGGTCTATGCCTAGTTTCTGCCATACTCTTTTCCAGTTTTCCCAGCAGTTTTTTTCAAAGAGTGGGTTCTTATCCCAGAAGCTAGAGTCTTTGGGTTTATCAAATAATAGATTATTTTCCTCTAATTTTTAATTATTAGTCCTTTTTTCTATTCTAAACTAATCAATATATTCAAAACAAGATGCTCATTCTTTAACTTCCCTCTTTGATTTGTAGAACTAAGCTTATATATTTGACCAGCTGAAGAGGAAGCCTGAAGTAGTGGTTAGAAAGGTAGCCTTTGAAGAGGTAGCTAGGTGGCGGAGTGGCTAGAGCACCAGCCCTGGAGTCAGGAGGACCTGAGTTCAAGGCCTCTCATGCTTGATGCTAGCTGTTACCATGGGCCAGTCACCTAACCCTGCTTGCCTTGCCAAAAAAAAAAGATGAAGAAAGAAAGAAAAAGAAAAGAAAGTAGTCTTTGCAAGAGGCTAACTCCTCTTAATCCTAGTGCCTTCCTTCTCTCAATTATTTCCTATTTGCTTGCTTTGTGTATTTTTTAAAATTTTATCTCCCCCATTAGATTGTAAGTTCCTTGAGGGCAAGAACTATCTTTTGCCTCTTTTTGTATCCTCAGTGCCCAGCAGAGTGTAATCACTTAATAAGTGTTTATTGATTGGTTTCTTTTCTTCCTGTCAAAACTAGAGAGAATGCCTTAATTATTGTTCTCTTCTCCCCAGTTTTCCTGGATCCTCAAAGGCAGATTTAAGGAAAGAAATCTGGGGTGTTCTGTAATGGCAGATTGTGAAGATTTAACTGATTTTGTGTATTTCACTCCCTGCTAGTTGTTGTTAGCTGGTTCCTCTTCCACAGATTAGTTGCATGAACTTACATTTTATATCTCCACACTGCTGGAGTGTAAGTCCTCTCTGGGCAGGAACTGGGTTTTTTTGGCTTGGGTTTTTGTCTTTGTATCCCCATCTCCTAGCACAATGCCTTGGGCATATTAGACCCTTAAAGTGCTTTTTGTTCTTGTTGTCAGTGATTTTATTGACCATGCTATTGAGAAAGAGGGAAGGGGAGAGGATTTATATGGCACCTACTGCTTGCTAATCACTGTGACCTCATTTGATCCTCATAACAGTCCTGCTGGTAGGCAGGTGTTATTATCTTTCTTTTAAAATTGAGGAAACTGAGGCCGGCAGAAATAAAAGGACTTGCCTGGGTCACATAGCTAGTATCTGAGGTCAAATTTGAACTCAGATCTTCCTGCCTCAAGGCCCAGCACTCTATCCACTATGACACCTAGCTGTCTGAATCAAAGTTTAATTTAAACTGCATTTTACATTTTCAGTTTCCTATGGAGTTCATTCATTATGTCTTTTTATTGGAGATTGAATGATCCACTAATCAACAATTTTCAAACCTGCTTAATCTGGTGGATAGGAAGTTTTTCCTGTGTAGAAACTGAGAGAGGTTCATGAGCAATAAAACATTTGAAAGTTCAGGATTGACGTTATATATTAAGCCCAAAACTAGAATCAGGGCAACTGAAGATTTAAATTTTTTTTTTAAAGTTTTAATAGGAATAATTGTTCCCATCTTTTTCTGTGCATCTCTATTAACATTGCCTTCTGAGAAGGGTTATAAACTCACAGTAAGAGTGTTTTGCCCATTTAGAACCAGTGTTTGAACTGAAAGAGGGGACCGAAAGGTCTGTGTTCTAGGCAGGATAGAGAACTTCTTTCTGATTTACTTCATACAGACACCTCTTCTGCCTCTGAGGATGAGGGCTCTCTGAGAAGACAAGCGGCTCTCTCTGCTGCCTTGCAGCAGAGTTTACAGAATGCTGAGTCCTGGATCAACCGCTCAATTCAGGGATCGTCCACTTCTTCATCCGCATCTTCCACACTGTCCCATGGAGAGGTCAAAGGAACCACTGTGTCACTAGCTGATGTATTTGCCAGTACTCGAATAGGTAGGAGCTGCATCTCCCCAAGAAACCAATTATTTTCTCTTTGGTTAATTTTGACTATCTGTATCCAGAAATTGGTTTATGGTTTACATTAGACTCTTTGATTTTTCAAAATGACCTTAACATGTACAGTCAGATAGAGATTAGCAACTAATGGGGAAAGGGAAGAAGTACTCACAGTACAGTAATGATGGCTACCATCTGTGATATTGGTCTATATTATTGTTCACCTGAAGCCATAGCTATTTCCATAGCAACATTCAAGCTGTGAGAGACAATGCCAGTCTTAATGTGTATGGTGGTTCACTTAAGACTGTGAAAATTTGTAATGGCCCAGATTCTGTTAACCTTTGTTATAATTTTTTTTAACGTACAGAAAAGTAAATGAGAAAACTTTTTCAGTATAGCAACAGAGCCTTTATTCCTACTCATAAGATTGGCCTTTATTGATCTTGCTGCTATGATGTTGCTACACATTAGAGTACTCAGCTAAGAATTTTGTGTTCTGTGTTAAGTTGCTAAGTACTGCTGATTGCTATCATACGAAATAAGTTTTTGTTTGGCTCTGCTTTAATTGTGTGTGTGTGTGTGTGTGTGTGTGTGTGTGTGTGTGTTTAAGAAAAAATGATATCCATATATATAAAATTCATTTTGGCTCAATATATGATCCATATTAGCATTAGGCTATGATTACTTCTCCTTCCCCTCCTCCCACTGTTGATTGTATTTTGTTTTTCTTGTCACATTGGTGCCTTTTCTGTTATTCTGTATATGTTTGTGAATCTAATTTCTGAATGTAAAAATTTGTAAAACTTTTCCATTCAGCACCATAATTTTTAAAGAATTCTGTAACGGTCATGATTAACCAAGATGCAGAGTCTCCAAATACCCAGTCTTAGAACTACTGGAATCTTTCATTTCTTGCATCTCCTTTTCCACTCTCCTCTTTCTCCTGACCCATATGAATGAGTAGTATAAGTTTCATAGTATAGCTGCAGGTCTGTGTATTCTTCTACACTCTTACTGTCTCCTACTTCCTGATTGGGGAATATACAGCAAAAGTGTGGTAGCTGGGTCAGATTTTTTCAGAATCATTATTTGCATAAAATTTGATTACCTGCTAATGAATTTCAATTAAACAGTTGCATAACAGTGTCAAATCTTATTTGTGTAGTTTTCTTTTCTATAAAAAGTCGAACTAGTAGTTGGATATGACAATATTTAGGTCTGTTTTTTACTGACAGTATTTTATGTTATATGTTTTTTTCTCCCTTCTGTAGAGAATTTCTCTGCCCCCCCTGATGTCACCACAACTACCTCCTCTTCATCTTCCTCCTCGTTTCGCCCAGCAAATATTGACCTACCCCCCTCGGGGATAGTTAAAGGCATGCACAAAGGGTCTAACCGTTCCAGCCTTATGGATACAGCCGATGGTATAGCTGCTTTTGGTGGACATCCTTAACCAGAAAAGAGAAAAGTTGAACTAGCTTATTTCAGTTTATATCAGTGCCTCACTTAGAATGAAAGTAATTGCAATTTTCTGTCCAAGTTGGTAGCAACAAATATTCTTGTACTGCACTTTCTTGTAACTACGTGGATATCTATTTATAATCACTTAACATTTCCCATGAGATACTTTGAATAAAAAGTGACTGTGAGGAACAATAACAGATTATTAAACCAATTTTTGTTTGTTTTGTTTTTTTGGTCACAGACCCCTTTTGCATTCTGATAATGCCTATGGGCCCATTCTCAGAATAATGTTTATAAGTGTACAAAATAAAATACATAGGATTTTAAAGGAAACCAGTTAATTGCAATACATTCTACATATTTTTAGGGAAACTTAAGTAAGGTGCTACCTAGTGGCAGGTCTAATAACTGTAGTAATTTCAAAGTGATTTCTAGTTGTGATTATAAACGTTATTTAGAGATCACCAACTGTATTGTGATATGAAAATATCACAATTTCTTCTGGTGACAAAGTCATAGATATCATTAATAGTACTGTGGTTTATTGCCTGTATTTATCAATGAATTTTTAAATTTTAGTTAGAGGTTAGTAAAAATAAAGATGTAATTTTTTTTTCCCATCCAAGTTCACATACCCCTTGAAGTCTGTCTGGGGAGCCCTTAGGCATATGCAGACCTCAAGTTAAGAAGCCCTAAGATAAAAGAAGGAAGAAATGAAATATTGGAGTGACATACTAATATTAGTGTTTATTATGGTCATAAAAAGCAGTGTGTACATATTTATAGCTAATTGATGCTATTGAAATCAATTAAGATTTTGGGAGAAATTCATGTCATGAAAAATAGAAATGCCTATGATGAGAAATAAATTTAAAATCATTATATATTCACTGAATTTCACAATGTAACCATAATAATTTTCTTTCTTGTAGGTGTCCCTGTCAACAGCAGAGTCTCTACAAAAATTCAGCAACTTCTGAATACTCTGAAACGACCCAAAAGACCTCCCTTAAAGGAATATTTTGTAGATGATTCTGAAGAAATTGTAGAAGGTAGTAACATGTTTACCAAACACAAAGTATGAACTTTCTTTGTAAACAAAGAGTATCAGATCTGTTTCAAGATGATGATCTCAGTTGGGCATTAGGCAGTTGGTGGAAGCTGGGGAAGTGGGGGAGATCAGGAAAGATTTCATGTAGAAGGTGTTACTTGAACTGAATCTTGAAATAAGAGATTCTAGAAGGTAGAGATGAGGAGGGGATGCATTCCAGTCATTCTCTAGGGAATGGCCAGTGCAAGGACTCAGAGACAGGAGATGTATCTTGAATTTTTAAAAGGAACTAACTCTAGAACACTGAATTAACACACAGTAGACAGCTAAGCAATTTTTACACATGGCATCAAATTTGGGGGAGGATATGAAATTTGACTTTAAATAATGCTGCAGCATCTTCCTTTGTTAATCAGTCTTCAAATACTGAGTTATCTGCTGTGTGCCAGCTACATTGTTAGGTGCTCAGGGGGACAGAGAAATACAATTTCTGACCTCAGAGAGCTTAGATTTAGATGGAAATGAGATATAGTTAATTGAAAAAGTAATTAATAAAATAAGCAATTAATAGTAACAGCCAAATAAGTGCTATTGTGGTTCAGAGGAGGAAAAGTCCCACTTTGGGGTGGGCTGTTCAGGACTTCAGAAAAAGTAGCAGTGATCATTAATAATTTATTTTATATCGTCGTCAACAGATTTTTATTGAAAGCCTACTATATTCATGTTTTTCTGTCTTACCTGGATTTTCTGAAACTGTCCCCTTCATCATTTATTAGTGCAATAGTATTCTGTCAGATTTGTACACCATCACTTGTTTAGCCATTCCTCACTTGATGGGCATCCTTTCAGTTTCCAGTTCTTTTCTACCACAAAAAGAACTGCTATAAATATTTTTGTACCTATGGGGGCTTTTTCACTTTCTTTGATCTCTGGGGATTGACCTTGTAGTAGAATTGCTTGGTCAAAGCGCATACACAGTTTAATTTTCAAAGGTTCAGAAGTTTCAAATTGCTTTCCCAGATGGTTAAAATAGTTTATTAATAAGACATTAGTGTGCTTGTTTTCTCATAGCCTTTGTCATCTTCCTTTCTTGTCACCTTAGCCAGTCTGATGGGTGGGAGGTAGTACCTCATTTAACTTGTATTTATTTCTTTAATAGTAATTTAGAGCACTTTTTTCAAATGGCTTTTGATAGGTTGAATTTCTTTCTCTGAAAATTGTATATTGATATCCTTTGACCATTTATGAATTGATTTGTGATCATAAAAGTAATGTACGTAATATAGGGGAATAGTCTTTTTCTTGTAAATTTGTCTCAGTTCCTTATATATCTTTAAAATGAGACCTTTATCAGAGAAACTTGTTGCAAAGATTTGTTCCCCAGTTTCCTGCTTTTCTTCTAATTTTAGCTTTATTGGTTTTGTTTCTGTAAAACTTTTTAAATTGTATGTAATCAAAATTAACCATTTTACTTCCTTTGAACCCTTGATCTCTTGTTTGTTCACCATGGTGTCTCACTGCTCTTTATTATTGAAAAGGTTTTGGCCAAGGTTTTCCAGAGCAACTATTTCATCCTCCATGCTTTAAATGCACTCCCTTCTCACCTCCACCTTCTAGAATCCCTGGCTTTGAGGCTCAGCTCAAGTCCCACTTTCTACCTAAACTATTTCCTCATATCTCCCCCTAAACACCCCCCCAACTGCTAATGCCCTTCCTCACTGAACTTTCCTGAATTTATTATTTAGTCTGTGTATGCTTAACCTGTCCCTCAGTAAAGTATTAGCTCCTTGAGAACAGGGGTTGTTTATTTTATTGTTGTGTTTCTGTCTCCTAAACAACTAGTAGGCTTCCTGGCACATAGTAGGAGTCTGATATATGCTTGCTGATATATAATATATAGCTGTTTATAATAATTTCTTTACTTCATGAAAAGCGTTATCTAAAGCAGATTGAACAAGTCTTCACAGAGGAATAAACAAATAAATTAGATCTACTTTGAACTCTAAAGTGAATTTAAAACCAAGTTAGTGCAAACAGTAGGTTTATCTCTAGAAGTAGTAGGTTAATTTCACTTGGAAGCCTTCAAATAACAGCTAGATAACCACTTGTTCATAAATATTGCTGTTACAAATGCCAGTTCAAGTACTAGTTAAATTAGCTATTCTCTGAGGTCCCTTCTAATTCCAAGATTTCCTAAGAAAGGAAAAATTCAGCTGCGAATAGGAGCCTAAAGTTCATGAGTATTGTGGTTCTTTCACGTCTCCTTTTAATTTAATATTTTTTCGTTCTATGTATGCAGTACCTCAGCCGGACCCAAACCAGCCCAAACCAGAAGGTCGTCAGATGACTCCTGTGAAGGGAGAGCCATTAGGAGTCATCTGTAACTGGCCCCCTGCTTTAGAATCAGCACTGCAGCGGTGGGGGACTACTCAAGCCAAATGCCCTTGCCTGACTGCACTTGATGTTACAGGGAAGCCAGTTTATACTCTAACATATGGTGAGCTTAAGAGACTTCAGTTCCTGTTTGTCCTCCTACTTCTGGGATATAATAAGATACATGAGCTTGTAGCAAAAAAGACAGTACTTCCATAATTGTGTATGGTAGGAGGTTTGCAGATAAAAATAACTACATTTTTAGCATGATATTCAATAATTACTAACCTCAGTATTTTAGCAGCCCTTTTAAATTAGGTTGGTTCTTCAGTACTAAGTATAGTGTCAAGTATTTACATTTTCCATAGTAATGGTTGAAGGCCTGCCAATATTTTAAAACTGTAGAGAGGTTTTGTAGCAGGGGAGGAAAGAGACTTCCTAACGGTTCATGTCCTCAGCGTGAGAAGAATTTTTGAAGATAGAAATGCAACGCTAATAATATTCTAGTAAAATATACATATATTTAATTTATTGGAATATTGTCTTTTGTTCATTCATTTTTGCTGCAAGTAGCAAAACCCCAAACTAACATTATTTGCAGTAGAAAAAAACTAGAAGCTTTCTTTCCCAATAAATTCGAGAACAAAACAAGAATGCTTTCTTTCCCCACTGTTATTTGATATTGTTTTAAAAGTCTAGTGATATCTGTAAGATTAAATTAAGGACTTAATGGTGTAAACATTGGTAAAGAAGAAACAAAAGTATCTCTATTTGATGACATAATAGTTTACTTAGAAAACTCTGAACAGAAAATCATGAAAGAAACTAATTAAAGCAGTTGATAGCTTTAGTAAAGTAAAAGGATATAATGTCAATGCACAAAAATCAACAGCATTTCTGTACAGTAATAACAGAAGCCAGAAGGATATAATCAAAAGGGATATCCCATTCAAAATAACCATAAAATACATAAAAATATTTGGAAGCCAGTCTACCAAAACCCTTGAGATTTATAAAAATGCAATTACAAAGCCCTCTAAAGAATAAAATTTTTTTGCAACAATCATTTCTAGCTGTCCTTTCCACCACTGTTGCAACAATCCCTCCATTGTAACAAAGAGAAGAAAGTGATATAAAATCTACCAGTATATGGACTGTCCTTTATTTTTTTGTTGCAAGGGGTGGCTCTTAGATATGGTATTTCAGAAGGATATATTTGAAAATGAATGTGATATAAAAATAAATTATTTCAATAAAATCAGTATTTTCTAAAAATTCAGACATTTCTTTTTCAGTGCACGGTTAGTGGACATACCAAAGAAGCTTTGAGATCATCCTTTACCTCAAGTAGGGCAGTCTCATTAGACAGGTGGAACAAGCACATGGGCAATAATAAAGACCAATGATACCAATAATCATGAAGATGCATTTTACAGTATCATTTTCTTGCCAGAAACTTTGGTGCCAGTAGAATGTAAGTTCCATGAGAGAAGGGACTTTTTTTTGTTTTTGTCCTTAGATAGCACCTAGAATAATGCCTGGCAAATAGTAGGCAGACCAAATACATTTTTATTTAATTAAATTGAACTATATTAGAGTTTGTTTTATTGTCCCATCCCCAGCCTATTCAGTGCCTCCATAGGAGCACTGCCATTGCTTTTTTTCAGTGTGAAAACCACATTGCTTAGGCACCAGATGAATTTGAGCTATGTTAGTCCATTGTAAAATTGTCTTTTTCTTTCCAGGAAAATTATGGAGCAGAAGCCTCAAGTTGGCCTACACACTGCTTAATAAACTGGGGACAAAAAATGAACCAGTATTAAAACCTGGAGATAGGGTAATTTTTAAAAATGTCTACTTTCTTGTTCCTTTCTTTAAAATGAAAGGAATGGTGGTGGGGTCATTGAAGTAACAGTTATATTTTTAAAGAACAGTAGCAATAAAGTACTTATTTTTCAGAAAAAGATAAATAGTCATGTTAAGCTTTCTGCCACTACTTATTAGAATCATGAAAATTGTTTGCAGCCATTCTCCTAGGCATAATACTTTATTGTAATTTTAGTGTTCTTGGATTGAAGGGAAATGCTGACCTTTTACTTTAACCAGTTTTTTGCTTCATGTGTCCATCTCTTTACGGGCTAGTCAATTAAGTTTTAGGCTGCCAGGACAACAAGGAAAAGAGGACTTAGGTCTTTCGCAGCCTAACCACCTTCAAACAGAACTTTGAGATTGATTTAGAGTAGCGGAAATAGTGATTAGACTACTATTTTATTTTTATTACAACCCTAAAACCTTTGTCAGTTTTCTGTTGGCTTTTTTTTCTGCTTTATGTATTGCTTCCTAAGAGGAACCAAATTAAAAACCTTTTATACGCCTTTGAATTGCAAATGTCTCTTTTACCTTAGATATTTATTGAATTTGAAATGGTTCATTTTTAAAATGTGTTAATTTTTTGGCAGCTAAATATCAGTTTCTCTCTCTCTCTTTTTTTTTCTTTTAGGCAATTGGGGTTAAATGACTTGCCCAGGGTCACACAGCTAGGAAATGGCAAGTGTTTGGTCTGAGGCCGGATTTGAACTCAGGTCCTCCTGACTTTTGGGGCCTGTGCTCTATGCACTACGCCACCTAGCTGCCCCTCACTTTCTCTTAATGTTAAATATTTGTGCATTTTGAGATTATACAACTTCCTGTCAAGCTTACATTGAGAAAATGAATATAAGATTGACTTTTTCAAGAAGATAAAAAAGTCCACTGGATTAACTTTTTAAAAACTTTTTTTTTAATGTGGCAAGAGGCATTTCAGAAAAAAAATTATGCCTAGAGACATCCAAGTCTGTAACTTTACTTTAGTGGAATACAGGGTCATTTCTGAGTTCCCAAAATGTGTTTTCTTTTTCCGAATAGAATGGACTTTCTTTTGTAGGCGGGAGCAGTTTGTTCCTACTATGCATTTTATAGCAGCTGATGTTAATGCTTAACACTAAGAATAGTTTCAAAATTTATCCTATCTTGGGAACAGGATCAGAAAATAACAATTTCACTACTGTCCACCATAATTGCCATTTATGTAATCATAGGAAGGCCAGTATGTTTTTAAGTATTTTGCTATCTTATTTTTGTTAGCTTAATTTATTCCAGAATAAACAGTTTACTCTTTACATTTGAATTTTTGCATCATAAGCGGTCTGATGCTATAGAGTGTGACATTGAGAACTTTTTCTTTGTTTCCCTTCTAATTGAATGTCATCGTGAATTTTAGGTGGCCCTGGTCTATCCCAACAATGACCCTGTCATGTTCATGGTGGCTTTTTATGGATGTCTCCTAGCAGAAGTGATCCCTGTACCTATAGAAGTGCCGCTTACTAGAAAGGTAACATTGACAAAGCCACAAGGCATGATGATGGGATAGGAGATATCAAAACATCAGCATTTATTTTGGATAATGTATTTCAGCTGCTCTGAAAGTAAAGTGCTTACTTTCTGACAGTTTTCCTGAGAATTCAGACAAGTTTTAGAAACATACATTTTCCATATATACCCAGGTTCATGAATGTAGAACCATAAGAGAACTTAGAGGGGATCACCTCATCTCCTCTTTTGGCAGCTGGATATGCTGAGACTCGTGGAATTTAAGAGTTTTATCCAGGGTCATGCACAGAATGAGTTGTAGAGTTTTGAACGCAAACCTTCTAATTGCAAATCCAGCTAAATGAAGGAGGTGCTATTCCTTTCTTGCACCTCTGTGTCATAAAAGTATCTTGAAATATATTTGACTTTTTCAGTAAAACTAGTACTAATATTATTATTAATAATAACTAGTATTTATATGGCACTTTAAGGTTTGCAGAGTACTTTATGTAAGTGCCATGCAGCAGTTGCTATTTGATTTATATCTTGCTGTCCTGAGCAACTAGCATAGTTGCCAGCATATAACAAACACTTACTGATTGGTTAATTTACTGGAACATTGGGGGAAACTAGTCCTTTAGTGACCAGTTCTAGCATTTATCTCAAGTCAAATTGAGTAATTTTTGGTCTGTGAATAAATGGGAAAATTGGGGGGATTAGGATTAATTTTCAGCAATGTGGAACAGCTTGGTATAAACGTTTAATTTGTTACCCAGAAGATAATATTTTCCAACTCTGTGTAAAAAGGCTGTTACTACTTAAATTCCAAGCCTTTGACAGATTCTGGCATGTCTCCATATCATTAGCACACACGAGTGACAAGAATTACCAAGGGTTAGATTGTTGATAAGTGTAAGGTCAGTTTTTAGTTCTCTGATAGTAATGCTGTCTTATTCCCCTCCGCAGGATGCTGGAGGACAGCAGATTGGCTTCTTGCTGGGAAGTTGTGGTGTTACCTTGGCTCTTACCAGTGAGGTTTGTCTGAAGGGGCTTCCAAAAACTCAGAATGGAGAAATTGTACAGTTTAAAGGTTAGTGGAAAACTCACTTGGGTTCAGAAGGTCAGTTTCACAATTATAAGATAGAGGAGGCAGAGGTAGCTATGTGTCTGAAAAGATTTGGACTTTTAATCAAGAAGTGATTATGGCTGCCAGAAAGCTAATATTAGCATTTTAGGCTGCATTGAGAAAGGAATAATGTTTCAGACTAGAAAAGTACCACATCTAGAGAATTTAGGAAGTACCACATCTTAGGAAGCTTCAGTGTAAGGGAGGGACATTGATAACATAGAGGGTAAGACAGTCAGAATGGTGATCAGCCTCAAGGTCTTGCCATATGAGGATTGATTAAAGGAAGTAAAGATATTTAGCCTAGAGAAGGAAAGGCTTAGGGAAGGAATGATAACCATCTTAGTTTTTGATAGGATGCTGTCATGTGAAATGGGTATTGAAGTTTTCTTACTTGTCACAAAAGGCAAAACTGTGAGCAGTTGGCACAAGAGTCCGAGGCATCATTTGGTCTGACATCTCTCAGGTCTGACCCTTCTTCTCCACTCACACAGCTCCCATCTTGGTTCAAGCCTACTTTACCTCCTTCTAGATTACTGCATTAGTCTCCTCTTTGGTATCCCTGCCACACATCTCTTGGCATTTTAGTCCATCCTACACAAAATAATTTTCCTTAAATCCAGATCTGAACATGTGCCTCCCTATTGAACCAAGGCCAGTGGCTTTCTGTTGCCTATAGGCCAAAATATTTATCTTTAACCCCACCTCATAGAGTCCCTCTCTTCTTGTGTGACACAGCTCAAGCACCATCTTCTACATGAAGCCTCTCCTGAGCCCTGCAACTGCCTTCCTCTCTCACAAACTAACTTATATTTAGCTACTTTGTATATATTTCTGTTTGTTCACTTTGTATTATGCTACACATATGTACATATGACCATTAGAATGTGAGCTCCTTATGAATAGCTAATGTTTCATTCTTTGTACTTGTATCACCAGCGAAGTACCTGACACTGGTAGGTGCTTAATAAATACTTGTTGATTGATTGATTGATCCAAGCTGTCCAGAAGCTGGACTGCCATCGGAGGTAGTGAATTCCCCTTTTCATGGAGGTCTCCCAGCAAAGGCTGGAAGACCAATTATGTACTACATTGTATGAGGAATTCTTAGTCATAATATTATGTATGGGTTGAACTATGTGGCCTCTCCGGGCCCTCCCAGCTCTTCTGTTCTGTGATAACAGGTGTTAGCTGTAAGTTAAGACAGCATTAAAAGGTAGCAAAATTCAGGTCAAACACAAAAGAAAAGTGTTGGTTCTAAATTCTAAGGTTAAAACATTCTTCTTTCCTTTAAAACGGTAAACTACAAAAAATGGGTCATTCCATGTACTATCTGGGCAGGTGCAGGGTGAGAGCAGTGTGTTTATTGGAAAGTAATTATTGCATCAATACAGAATGCATCATAAAAGTTATTTTAGACAAAAGTAAGTAGTTTTTTAGGTATCCGAAATAGCTAAGGCGTTTATGGTTTTCTAATACGTTCAGGTTTGTGTAAGTGATCGCCGTATACTTGAGTTAAATATCTTATATAGTGACAGAATACTAATCGCTGGGTATCAAATGCCAAATGAGAGAGCAGAAGAAAATTTCTTGAGATTGTTGAGGTGGCATTTCCTTGAAAGGGTTAAGGTTCTACCCAACTTTGTTGTAGTCCTTAGTATTTTCCTTGTTTCACCCTTCTTCCTAACATATTACTGTATAGTAAAAATTCCCAATCCAAGAATAATTTTCATTTGTTGTGTTCCAGTAATTCGTTTCAAACAAAATAACAAAAAGGTCTCAGCAGTGCCTAAGGAGGTGCTTTTTTTTAAAAGCTTTTATTTTTTAATTTTTTTAAAATATAAATTTATTTTTAGTTTTCAACATTCACTTCTACAAGTTTTTGAGTTCCAAATTTTCACCCCATCTCACCCCTCCCCCTACCCCCAAGATGGCATGCATTCTGAATGTCCCTTCCCCTAATCTGTCCTCTCTTCTATCTCTCCCCCCTTGTCTTATCCCCTTCCCCTTCTATTTTCCTGTAGGGTAGGATAGACTTCTGTACCCCATCTCTTGTATTTCTTATTTCCCAGTTGCATGTGAAAACATTTTTTTTAAACATATGTTTTTAAAACTTTAGGTTTCAAATTTCTCTCTTCCTCCCTCTCCACCCACCCTCATTGAAAAGGCAAACAACTCAATATAGGTTATACAGGTGCAGTAGTGCAAAACACTTCCATAGTAGACATGTTGTGAAAAACTAACTCTATTTCCCTTAATCCTATCCTGCCCTCCCATTTATTCTGTTCTTTCTTTTGACCCTGTCCCTCCTCAGAAGTATTTCCTTCTGATTACCCCCTTTCCCAATCTGCCCTCCTCTCTATCATCCCCCTGCTTTCTTGTCCCCTTCTTCCCCTATTTTCCTGTAGGGTAAGACAGATTTCCATACCCAATTGAATGTGTATGTTATTCCCTCCTTAAGCCAAATCCTATGAGAATAAGATTCCCTCATTCCCTCTCACCTTCCCGTTTCCCTTCCACTGTAAGAGCCTTTTCTTTTCTCGTTTTTTTTTTGTGTGAGAAAATTTACCCCATTCTGCCTCTCCCTTTCTTCTTCTCCGAGTATCATCCTCTCTCATCCCTTAATTTTATTCAAGGAGGTGCTCTTTGATAATTTCTTCTTGACCCTAATTTTCTGTTTCTTCCTAGGAACAGACAGCTTATTCTTGAGTCTGATCTAGAGTAAGAGGAGCTCAGGCTGATCTGGTCTCTCTCAAACTTTTCCTAGATTATTTTTTAGGCTTTGGAAGCCTTGTACTCTGAGTGCAGTTCCAGAATAAAAAGAGTTCTAAGATGTTAATAGAAAATAATTGAGATAAGGTACTGTTACTAATTCTGAAAGAAAAGTTTGCTTCTGAAAACCATATGGATCTATGCTGAGCATCTTGTTTTAATTATTTGTATTGGTGTTTTATCCATAACCCCAAATAAGTTGTTATCTTCATAAAAGCAAAAACCACATGTTGCCTCTAGTGGTATGCAGATTAACTGAGGTAGAATAGAACAATTGAATTGATTGACTTCTACAGTGAACCTTTGTAAATTTTTATATTTCTAAAAAATTTGCCTGCCACTTGCAGCAGTCACTCATTTTGCATAATTTAGTATTGAGTTCAGAAGATTTTGACATGTTCTTTAGTCACGAAACCACATTTTCATTGATTTGGATATTGAGTATAGCTTTAACAAGCAACACATTTTTCCAGAATTATCTCTGACTATAATGCATAGGTTGTCAATGAAGTTTAAGTCAGGCAAGTTCTCAGGCCTTTTAAGCACTTTTATCTTCATCTCCTGGATAAATGACACCTGCCATGATGCAAGGTTTTATTGCATCATATACAGTATTCCATCTCCATTCGAAAGTTCTGTTTTTCAGAACATTAATAAGTTTGTTATTCATCATTGGGAACAAGAGGGCCCATTGGAAGTATAACGCTCCCCCCTAACATTTTGGGAGTATATGTTTTACAGTCTTAAGAACATTCCCAGATCTTATAGACTCAGCTGGACTTCCTCTGACAGTAGTTTTGGAATAGTCAAATAAAAAAATGTTTCATCAATAGAAATTACCTTTTTCCCATCTTCAGAACTCTCATCTTTGTGTATTGTCTCACTTTGACAAATATGTCTTATTCATAGCAACAGTTAGCCGCCACTTTTAAATGGCTATTAGATTGGCCAACATGACAAAACAGGAAAATGATAAATATTGGAGAAGATGTGGGAAAATTGGAACACTAATGCATTGTTGGTGGAGTTGTGAAATGATCCAACCATTTTGGAGAACAATTTGGAACTATGCCGAAAAGCCTATAAAAATGTGCATGCCCTTTGATCCAGCAATAGCACTTCTAGGGCTATATCCTGAAGAGATCATACAAATGGGAAAAGGACCCACATGAGGGGACAGCTAAGTGGCGCAGTGGATAGAGCACTGGCCCTGGATTCAGGAGGACCTGAGTTCAAATTTGACGTCAGACACATAACACTTACTAGCTGTGTGACCTTGGGCAAGTCACTCAACCCCATTGCCTAGCCCCCCCAAAAAAGAAAGAAAAAAAAAGAGAAAAAAGAAAAGGACCCACATGTACAAAAATATTCATAGCAGCTCTTTTTGTGGTGGCAAAGAATTGGAAATGGAGAGGATGCCCATCAATTGGGGAATGGCTGGGCAAGTTGTGGTATTGTGCTATAAGAAATGGTGAACAGGCTGACTTCAGAAAAACCTGGAAAGACTTGTATGGTCTGATGCTGAGTGAATTGAGCAGAACCAAGGGAACTTTGTACACAATAATAGCCACGTTGTGCGATGACTAATATTGCTAAACAACCCTTCTCAGCATTACAAGGATCTAAGGCATCTCTAGAGGCTTTGTGATGGAAAATGCTATCCACATCCAAAGAAAGAACTATGGAAGTTGAATCGCTATCATTTTTTTCCCTCTTCTGTTGAGTTTTCTTTCCTCTTTCTGGTGGTTCCTCCTATTGGTTTTAATTTTTACTTACAACTTCACTAATGTGAAAATATGTTTAATAGGAATGTAAATGTATAGCCTATATGAGATTATGTGCTGTCTTGGGGAGGGTGGTGGGGAGGAAGAGGGAGAAAAATTTTAAACTCGAAAGCATATGGAAGCATTGTTGATAAATCAAATTGTTGATAAATCAAAATAAATTAATAAAATTTTAAAAAAAATTATTCTTTTAACTATGAATAGTTTGGTGAATCCAGCTTCAAAAAACCTTTTGTTAGAAGTAGTAGAAGAAACCTATTGTCAGAAGCACATGTATGTGACCATTGCTTTTGCATAATGAAACCATATCAAAATTATTGCTTATTTCAAATAATTCATATGTGAACTCTATAAGCCACTCATTGTTGAGCGGTCTTTTGCAATCAGTAAGTGCTTAAGTGCTTAATTCAACAAGAAACACTTACTAGAAAATATTTGCTAAAAGAAGGAAGCAGGTGCACACCCTGAACTGAGGAATCAGGGGACCTCGCTCTGCTCTAGTTCATTGGACAGGTTATTGAATCTTTCAAGGACTTGAAAATGTTGAAATTCTTTGATCCCTTTTATTTATAAAATTATATGGTTCTATGATAAAAGGGTATGGCAGTGCACTGCTGTGAACCACTTCACGTGAAGATAGGCAAGTGGGGAGGAAATTTACTTTTTTTGAATGGAAGGAGTAATCTTCTCGTGTCAATAAAAACTAGCAAAATCAGTTCTTTACTAAATTATATTAGGTTTCACAGGTAAGAATCTGGATTTAATTAAAAATAAAATAAAATTTTAAAAAATAATCTGGATTGCAAAGAAATCCAGTTGATCATAAACTCTTTACATAGCAACTAAAACCACTAATTGCTTTCTTTGGACTTGGTTTAGGTTGGCCTCGGCTCAAGTGGGTGGTAACAGATTCCAAGTACCTTTCCAAGTCACCTAAAGACTGGCAGCCACATATCTCACCTGCTGGCATAGAACCCGCCTACATAGAGGTAAATTCTGGAATAGGTTCAGAAATATTAATAAACTTTCTGCTGTAACTATAAATAAACACCCCCAAAATAATTCACTTTGTAAGAGTTTTAATAGGAGCAGCTTCCTACTTCTATGTTAAATTTCCATGTGACTGAAATGAAAATGCTTTCTAATGGTACAGCTCTTGAAGTGCTTCTTCAAGAACCCACTAAGTTCTGGGGCTAAAGCGTGTGGGATTCACTTGCAGAAAACTGAGAGGTAGCAAAAAATTACCCCAGGCATCCAGCTTACAATGAGCTTCAGAAAAGTAAGTAAGTTTGAAGGAGGATATATGAAGGAAGGAATAGTTAGCAACATGGTTCTACTGTTTCTGCTTGTCCAGAAAGCTATGAAGAAGTGAATGAAAGGAACGAAAGCCATGTAGTATAAAGGAAAGAACAGTTTTTGGACTCAGAAGACCTGAGTTCAAATCCTTCCCTGATTACTTACTACTCACTGTCTCTATGACTATGGTCACTTAACCTCTTCGGGCCTTGGTTTTCTCATCTGTAACTTTGGGAGTCAGGAGAAGGGTGATTGAATGAAATGACTTCCTAGGTCCCTCCCAAGTACTTAGCACAATGCCTGACACACGTAAGCCCTTAATAAGTGCTTGTTGACTGATTGACTTGACTTCTAATTCTAAAACTGTAAACTATAGGAACTAATAACAAAAAAAAGCAGATGAGGTAAGAGGATATTAGAGGATGTAGTTGGTGTGTTGACAGAGTTTAATGTGGAGGGTCAGTTAGGCAATGAACATTTATTAAGTGCCTACTGTGTACCAGGCACTGTGCTAAGTGCTGAGGATACAAAGAAAGGCAAAAGATAGCCTTTGCCCTCAAGGAACTCCCAGTCTAAAGGGGGAGACACATACAAACCAGGTGTAGATACGGTGTAGACAGGACACGTTGGAAAGAACTGATTATGTCACCTGAAGCACTCCCCTTACTTTTCTGAGCCTTAGGCTCTTCATGTGTAAATGAAGAGCAGTGGACTAGATCTTATCTAAGATTCTAACTGGTAATGGCACCACAACACGTATTCCCCGGTTGTCTTGTTTTCCAGAAACCGTATTCCGTGTCTTTCTGGATATTCACATTGAACTGAAAAGTATAGGTTCCATTGCGGGGGATCTTTCAGATACTTTTGTAGCACTTGGCCTTTTTCTGACTCAGTAACTTAAGGAAGGAAGAAAATTATTTTATTTGTCAAAAATACACTCTTATGGCTTTACAAACTTCTGGATTAGAAATCACTCTTTAATTATGCCTCGCCCCTCCCCCCTTCTTTCCCCCAGTACAAGACAAGCAAGGAAGGGAGTGTCATGGGAGTCACAGTGTCCCGGCTTGCTATGCTGTCTCACTGCCAAGCCCTGTCCCAGGCCTGCAACTATTCTGAAGGTCAGCTCACATTCTACAGCAGCCCTCATTGTATTACTTTTCAGATGTACTAACATTATTTCAGAGGTGAATTGATAACCCCCTTTTGAATGTTCACATTTAGAGTAAAATATTCATAGTTTGGGCAGCTTCACTTTTATATCCCTTCTTGCCTTGATTCACATAGTGGGTTTGTTTTTCTGGATATACTATAGTTTAAAAGAGAAGCCTAATTCTGGATAAGCCAAGTAAGAATGATTTTGAGAGATTTAGTGAAGCAAAAGGAAAAGTTTTAGCTTGATTCTCCTTCTGGCTACATAACAACATGGACTTCATCTAGCCCTCAGTCAGAAGTCGCTGCACTTGTAAGTTTGGCAGGAGAGTCACAGAACTTTAACCCAAACAAAATGTAAGAACGATTTACCAATATGGAGATACAGGTTTTATGGTGAGGTACAATGTGGTGATTAGGCCCCCTAAAATACCTTCTCTTAGAAGACAGATACCAGATTGTATGAAGTACTTCATATGTTCAGTTACTGAATGTTTAACAAGTAGGGCATATCACCCAGTGATCACAGACCAGCTTGAGGCCCCCTGACTGTTTGTATGTAACAGTTAGAGCCCCAAACTTGAAACTATGAGATAGATGCTGTCTTAACACTTTCAGTTAAGGAATTGTTTGAGTTGGGGAAGTGATATTATATTGCTACTTTGGCTACTTAGTGATTTTTCACTTTGACGATATCACCTACTACCAAATTTTTTTTTCATCTTTCCGTTTATAGGGGAAACCATAGTCAATGTATTAGACATCAAAAAGGATGCCGGGCTGTGGCATGGCATATTTGCAGTAAGTTACTCTGACTAATAAACCTGCTGTGTAAACTGAGTAATGGAATTTATAAAGCAACTCCATTACTCCATTACATTTGTTGCTGTGGATTAATATCCCAACAGTGGTTGTTTTATTTGTGATAACACTTTTAGCTAACCATCCTATTTTCCAATGGCATTTTATTCAGATGTAAAATGTAAATGTTAATAGAAATAAAGAGGAATGTATTGCTGCTGTTACTTGCTTATGTGGTTGACTACACCCTTTACATGAGAGCACATATGAGACAGAAATAAAAAGCCCATCTGCTGTGATGGCTCTTATCCTGAAAGACACCATGAATGCCATATGTAGACTATTGGCTTTTTTAAAAAAAAGACCTCTCGGCGACTTACCTCATCTCTTTTTCTGCTGTTGGTGGTTATACATAGTTAACATTTGGCATTTGGTTTTTGTCATTTTCTGGTATGCTGTATCTCATGTTTAGTGTTTAATTGATGTTAACTTGTTTTGTGTCTTTTGTTGCTTTTCAGAATGTAATGAATAAGATGCACACAGTTAGTGTTCCCTACTCAGTGATGAAGACTTGTCCCCTGTCTTGGGTCCAGCGAGTACATACTCACAAAGGTAGTCACAGACACCTTTTAAAGTTTAATCATTAACCTTTAAACCTCTAAACCATAGTCAGAATAGCCACTGGCTGATTTTGGTGGGTGGGGAGGGAAGATATGGCTTACTGTCTTAGTGATATGTAGTTCTCAGAGCATGGCAGTTTGGCTGAAAGATAAGGATTTAGTTGCTGTAGACTTGGGTAGATCATTTACTTCCTTGTTCATAGATTGAGATGAATGTGCCTTCATTTAAGTGCTAACAAAGAAGTATTGAGCTGAAAAAAAGTTAAGTTGGTAGTAATACTGTGATTAGCATACAGGCTATAGTTGCAGTCATCTCTTTATGACCAACCAGTCCTCTGAATGTGGTACCCTACAGGCTTGTGAGCACTGGACACAATTTATTTGAATAGTGTTTTACAAAAAAAAACTTTGAATCTTCATTAACTGTAAGCTATGATCCCTAAAATAGAAGTTGATTTCAACAGAGTAAAAGAACCACTAAATTTAATTTTTTTCTGTGCTAACTTTTTTTCTCTTTTGGACTTACAGCCAAAGTGGCTTTAGTAAAATGTCGAGATTTACACTGGGCAATGATGGCACATCGGGACCAAAGAGATGTGAGTTTGAGTTCTCTGCGCATGCTGATCGTGACTGACGGAGCTAATCCTTGTGAGTATTTCTGTGGTGTGCTTCTTGGAACCTACTTTCTTCTAACTTAGTTTATTTTCCTGTTATAAAATACAGCTGCTTACTTCTGTGTGATATTGTCTTTCATGGAGTAAAAACTAACTAGTGCTCTGCCAATCAGGATTATCTTTTTGTTGCAGTATGACATGTAAAGTGGTATGTACAGCACATGAATATTCTTGATTGAAAAAATCAAGATCATTTTGTTTTGGAATAATCATATCTATACTAAGATTTTCCTAATCCCTCTCTTTTACAGTCAGATAATATCAGACCTTAGTTCTAAATTCTTAGGCCAATTTAGTATAAACAAATTCATTATCAATAGGCAAGTTTAGTAGTCAATTGTATGACTAATATTTAAGAATAAAAAGCTAAGAGAACATCAGTAGAGTACGGTACTAAACTAGTACGTACAAAATATGTGTTTCACTTACTATGATTTTTTTTTCATTTTATTTTATGTTTGGTTCCAAATTTCCCCCCTCCCCCACCTATTGAGAAGGCAAGAAAATCAAAACCCTTTACAAATATGTAATATCATTTAAAACAAATTCCCACATTAGCCATATCAAAAAGAAAAGAGCATATGGTTTGATCTGCGTTCTGAGTCAATCACATCTCTATCTGCAGAGAAATAGCATGTTTTTTCATGAATCCTTTGGAATTGTCATTGGTCATTGTGTTGATCACCGTTCCAAAGTCTTTCAGAATTGATGTCTCTCGGAGATATTATGCCCTAATACAGGGCCATGACCATGGCCAATTCTAATTTTCAAGAAATTATTTTCTTCAGTGAGGTTTCATACCTCTTACCAAGCTGATAATTCTCTTTCTTCCAAATATCTTCCTCCAAAGCTCTCATTTGGTAATTTTTTTCCTTCTTTTTTTAAAAACTACTAGGAATTCTTGTACTTTCATCCAAAATGCATTTTTTTTCTTTGAGGCTTTACTTGTGAGTATTTTCAGGTCATTCTTTTCTGTGTTTGAGTCTTGAGCTTGCCTGTCACTATTCTGTGGTGCTTCTGCTCTTTATGGTCAGGTTCTTTTTTTTTAATTTGTTCATTCTTGCAGCCTCCTTCTTGACTTTGGACTTTATATTAATGCTAGGCTCTTCCTACTTCTGCAGGGGATAGCCCAAGCCCCTATCCTTTCCCATCCTTTTTCTGCTTTCACAGTTCAGCCTGGGAGCCTCTAAGTTTTCACTGTTCCCAAAGAGGTGTGGTCCCAGGAAGGTCTGTTCACTGCCCTCCCGGTCAGTTCTGCAAATTCCTGACTCAGGTTGGTCTGTTGGCTTCTGGGTGGTTGAGTTTCAGTAGACTGCTACTGAGCTCAGATACCATTAGGCCTATGGAAGACTGTGCAGATTTAGAGCAGTTGAACTGCTGGCTTTCCTTTGGTCCATGTCTGCTGCCCTATTTATTCCCCTGTAGGCTTATGTGCCAGGCAGCAGGCTGCAGCTGATTTGCTGCTTTGTTCTGGGGCTCAGAACTATGCAGTTATGTTTCCAGAACTTGTTCCTTCCTCATTATACAACTGGGGCCCGTGCTCACTGGTGACTGCTCCTCTCCACCTAGGCTTTGGAACCCAAAACTTGATAATGTGCAGAGGAGCTGCCAGATGACACTCATTCGTACACCCAGGGCTGATTCAGGATTCCCTATCTGCCTGATGCTTCCTGCTCTGGTCGTCTTTCAATTCCCAGGCACTGGAATGTTCTCTACCACTGCCACCACTTATGCTCCTGGCCAGCTCCCTTTCCCTGTGTCCAAAGATCGATTGATATCTCTCTTTCTTTCTATCTCTCCCTCTCTCTCTCCCTTCCTCTCTTCCTCCCTCCCTTCCTCTCCTTTTCTCCCTCCTTCCCCAAAATTTCTGACCGTTCATGATCAAATTTCAGTCTGGTACATTTTTTACATCACTGTGAAGATCTTCTGGGCAAGCTAGACAAAAATGCTTCCTCTCATTCCACCATCTCACCTCCTACAATTGAGTTATTTTAGGAAGGGTTGTTAAACTGCTGGAGTGTCTCCTCTCAGTGTACCCTGCTGCTAGACTTGGCCTTGCCACTCCCGTCCGTAACATCCCTACTCAATGGTCTTTTCTAGCTCCTTCTGTCAGTGTAGAGAATACCCTAGCATTTTTATCAATGTGTTCTACAGAGTTGCTGATGTCAGCCTGGCTACCTAGAGGCTCAAAGCCTTTGGCATTGTGGAGAATGAAATACCTGGCTTGATGACACTTTTTCAACCTGTAAGCTATTGAGAGTCACCTGAATCATTGCCTCTATGTGATTATGGAGATAACTGTCCTCATTGAGATGCTGATGGCCCTAGGTGCTGAGATATGATGGCCCAGTTACAACATTTGCTTCATTTGGAACCGTGTCCCAACAACCATTTCCAAAACTGTCATTCTTGTGTATGCTCGGAAGGGGAAGAAAGATAAAGAGTACCTCTACTACATTGGAATAGATCTTCTACTTCAAGAACAGGCAGCCCGTCAGACATGATCCAAGATGATGGTGGAGACCTCACAATTCTCGTTCATACCACATACCCTCAGCTCCTGAAGGTATCTCAGAGGAGACTACCCCAGGTGTTCACAGTCTATACAAGATGAAGGCCAATGGAGTTCTCAAAGTGCCAACCATCAGTGGGAATAGTTCTGTTCTCCAAGAACAAGTTTGTTAACCTGTGTGTCTGGCAGCCATGAGTTCTTCCTTGGTGGTACCAGAGACACCAAACATATGATGATCTTGGGTAATGTGACTGTAGTGGCAGGACATAGTGATGTCAGCAAGAACTGCTGCACTCATTTAGACCATTTGGGGCTTTGGGGCATGTAGGAATCCTCATCACAGAGACAAGCACCAGCCAGAAGCATTTGTAGGCTTCTATGGAGAACTGTGAGATGATCACCATGTATGAGGCCTACAAAGAGGAAAGCATCTTTGTCACTCTTCAGACATCATCTTGGGCAGGTATTTAAGCAAATGAAAGACAGTACCATTGTATAAAACGTTGGATCCTTAGATGTGGAAATAGATTCATAGTGACTGAACAGAAATGCAGAGTACAAGATAAAATGAAACACAGGTGATTTGCTATAAGCTAAAGAATGAACAGTTTCAGGGCCATTCTGACTTTATCTTAAACAACTCCTTCGATAACCAGGCACTGGCCCAATTTGAGCTATGGACTCACAGAGGAAGTATTTTGGAGAGGTGCACTTCAGCATAAGAAACTGGATGAAGCTGTGACTGAGGGCTGCCTTCATTAGCTGAATGGGAAGCTGAAAAATCTGAGAGTACCTGGGCCCACCTAAGGAGGGCCCCTTCACACCTAACCACCACTGGTACTGAGGTCCTGGTGGTCCAAAGATGCCCAGTGGCTAATAACATCTTCCTGCCTGCCCAGCCCCTCTTGCACAGGGTAATAAATGGTGTGTAGGTTAAAAAAACAAGCAAACTCTATTGGCATAACCAGGCTTTGTCTGTAGCATTTACGTGTGGATAGTAAAAATGAGATTTTTGACATTTTGAAATTATTTTGTATATATTGGTAGGAATATCCACTTTCACCTGGGTATTACACCTTTAAGTGCTGTCCAGCTCTTCCTGAGATATAATTTCATGGATTTGTCCTTGAAATTTATAATTACACCTTATAGAGCCAATAAAATAGTTTTAAGTAAATTTATGTACATTTAATATGCTGTATTTGTTTCCTAGTTTCTCATTAGAACATTTTTTAAAAATTGCAGTAATGAAATTCACCATTATCAGATTTAAAGTTGGTCTGTTCTTTTTGCTTAGGGTCTGTATCATCCTGTGATGCTTTCCTGAGTCTGTTTCAGAGCCATGGTCTAAAACCTGAAGCCATCTGTCCTTGTGCCACATCTCCTGAAGCTATGACTGTAGCAATTCGCAGGTACTGTTCAGTTCATCAGATACAGAGCAAAAAGTTGTATGTTACAGCTGAGAAGGAATATTTAGTACTCACCTGGTATTGCCCATGGAAGCTTATCTGATGCTGTTTATTCAGAGAAATAAAGTGCTTTTCTAATCTAATAGAATAAAGGTGACTGATGACAGTATTTTGATTTAAATGATTACCTGAGAAAAGTATTTTATTTTCTTACTGTTACTGTTGCTATTAAGCTAAATGTGCATGCCTGATCTAGTCTATTAAAATAAGGCTTTTTTTCATTATCATGTGTTTTTTTTGTTGTTGTTAGGTAGCACTGTGGACCTGAAATAAACTGTTCTTGATTATAGCAGATGTCAGGAAACTGCATCACAGCAATCATTTTCTGGTTTTGCTGCCTCTATCCTATCCCTTTTACTATCTTCTTGAACTTTTTCCATAGTTTCCTAGGACAGTTTTGTGCCTACTCTCTTCTCCCTCCAAGCCATCCTTACTTCCACCAGGTTTATTTTCCAGACACCTCTATTTGGTCATGTCACTCCTCTGCTCAGAAAATCTCCGATGTCTCCATTTTCCCCACCACTAATGTTCAGAAGCCTCTGCTTGGCATTCAAGACTCTTTCCTGTCTGGTGCTGCCCCATCTTTCAGGCCTCACTCCCATGTTCCTGCCAAAGCTGGAGTGTCTCCATTGCCTCCATATTTCCATTTCCATCCATTTACTCATGCTGTTCTCTGTGACTGGAGTGTGCTTTCTTCCCACTCCCCTTTACCTATTGAATTCTTACTTATGCTTTAAAGCTCAAGTACAAAGATACCGGCTCCATAAAATCTTCCCTCATTTTCCCACTTCAACAAATCAATAATTAAACCCCTCCCCACCTTGGACCTCACTTTACATTTTGTTGTACATCTCAGTAGTGTTCCTGTTATAGTTATCTGTGTGTATCATATATAAACTTCGTTTCCCCCACATTTCAAGGCTTAGTATATTGCTTTGCATATAGTAGGCGTCTAATAAGTGATTGTTGAATTGAAATTGAGAGTGTTTTCCTACACTGATGAAAACTCACTCTTTCTTCTGGCCATTCCTTATGTTCTATAAGTGTGATTCTGTAAGAATATATTGGGTTTTCTGATTATTGGTACTTCAGTCAGAAAGAATTCAAGTTTTTATTTCATGGAGTTAGTGTTTTACTACCCTAATTAAAAATATTGGACTCCAAATCAGTTTTTTTTTCTTCTCAGACCTGGAGTTCCAGGGGCCCCTTTGCCAGGACGAGCTATTCTCTCAATGAATGGCTTAAGTTATGGGGTAATCCGTGTCAATACTGAAGATAAAAATTCAGCTCTTACAGTACAGGATGTGGGACATGTAATGCCTGGAGGTGAGTCACGAGAAGTGCCATCTAGTTTTTTTAAGGGCATGTCCCTGGAGCTTGTGGGGCCTGATAAAGTAGGAGTCCAGGAGCCTGGAATCCTGGCTCCACTTAGGACCTTTGCTTGTCCAGTGGCATATAGCCCCAGGCAAGTTTCTTACATTCTCAATGCCTACCTGCTTTTAAAGTGGGGGTAATTAGTCATCACCAGGAAGTCTTAATTAGATTATGAACAAAAAGTCTTCCAATGTAAGGAAGGCCTGTCTAAGTGCTTTTTGCTAGTGAATGAGGTTTTCATTGTATTGGCCAGAAATGCTTATCCAGTGCAGTTGAGATGTTGCAGTAATTACAGTCATTCTTCCAAAGACCTCTTCTACAGCTACTGCTGCCAAAAGAAGTATCCCCATACGCATTCCCCAAAGGAAATAAAGCGCATCTTCTCAAGACAGGAAGTGAGACAGAGAAAATTACTGATTTCTAGTGGTGCAGAGAGTTGGAGGCATTGTTTTCATGACTATAGACATAGCTGGAAGGAATTCTACTAAAGATGAGTAAGACCCAGTTAAACCTCCTGTTTCATTTGCCTTCAGAGTCATTTTCAACAGTGACACATAGTAGTCTTAAGTTCTTAAGTGTGTGTTATGTAAATTGAGTGTGGCAAATTTTGCACGTATGAACTGTACATATAGTAATTGAATGCAGTGTAATATTAAGTGGAAAAAGTACCAAATTTGGAGTCATGAGACCTAGGTTCAAATCCCAGCTTTGCTTCTCAACTTCCTCGTGACAGTCACCAGTTACTTCTCTTCTCTGGGCCTACAATCTTGCCTGTAAAATTGATGGGGTTAGACTAAATCAGAGGTTCTTAACTTTTTTACGTGTCAAGCACCCCTTTAGCAATTTAATGAAACCTGTGGACCTCTTCTCAGAATAATCTTTTTAAATGCATAAAATAAGATACATAGAATTGCCGAGGAAATCACTTATATTGAAATATAGTCTGTAGACAAGAAAATTGCAGTCATGTAATTGAGCATTAAATCTAATAACCATATTGATTTCAAAATAACAATGAGCATAAACAACATTTTGAGTTCTCCAATTATAATGTGATATTAAGATATCTGTGAGTTCTATTGATGACAAAGTCACAGGTACTACTAATATTATTTTGGTTTGTTGATTACATTTATTACTTAAGAAAATGCTAATTTCCATGTAGAGCTTAATGAAAATAAAAATGCAATTTTTTTCTTATCCAAGTTCATAGACATTCTGAAGTCTATCTGCAGACCCTTTGGTTAAGAACCAATAGTCTAGATGGCCTCAGAAGTCCCTTTTAGCCTCAATTTATGATGCTGTGAGCCAATATTGATTTCAACTATGCCAACATTTCCATGGATAGTTTAAGTTATTTGGTGATCTATACTCATGAGCCACATTTTCCGTGCATTAGGGATGATGTGCATTGTAAAACCAGATGGCCCCCCTCACCTCTGCAAAACAGACGAAATTGGAGAAATCTGTGTCAGCTCCAGAACAGGAGGCATGATGTACTTTGGACTTGCTGGTGTGACCAAAAACACATTTGAGGTATCTATTTTACCTTGTATTTTGTTTTCCTAGCCTCTTCTTAACCTACCAAGAACAAGATTCTCATGCAGTAGTTCTTTCTGTTTTTGGAGGAATCAATTCTAGATGATATGAAACTGCCAGGTTTAGAGTGATGAAAATTTTTCAGTCTCCAATATGGATTTTGTCCATGTAGTTACATGGCCTGATTTTGAGTGATAAGTAAATGAATGAATGGATGGATGACAGAAAAATAGTATTTTAAAAATGCAATCAGAAGAAGGAAAACTACTTCCTTGAATTTATGAATTGAAATTTCCAACTGTTTTCCTTCCATAATATTGCTTGGTTTAAGACCTGGGAGTGGTTTCCCATAAAACCAGTATTTTATTAAAATGTGTAATGTATTAGTGACTTTGATCAAATGATATATTTTTAAAACTATGTTTTAAAACTACTGTGTTACTTTCAGCATCTCCCTTTTTCCATTTAGGTGATTCCAACTAATGCCACAGGGTCTCCTATTGGAGAAGTGCCCTTTGTCCGATCAGGATTGCTTGGATTTGTTGGGCCAGTGAGTAATATTTTAGTTCTCATGTTTTCTATGTGTTCAAGATGAAATACTGAACTGAGTAGATGAGATTTTTATTATTTCAGTAGTTTGGTAGGACTGTGAAATATGACTTCTTAATTAAAATAGTTTCAATAGAAATTATTTATTTTATGAGGTAGGTTGTGTTGCTTTGGGTACCCAGTTTATTTGGCTCCATAAAATAAGACATTTCTAATTTTCAGAATTGAGATTAGACAGTTATACTTACCAAATTCGATTTGATTAACACATTCTAACATATAGGAAGGTAGTGAAAGAATTACCTTCAGCAATAGAGGAAGTACTACCTAGATAAAGTAGTTACCATGTGTTGTATAGCAAAGCCCTTTATAAGGAGGATTGAGGTGTGTTTGGTAAATTCAGAAAAGCTTTCAGTGAAGAGAAATGATTAATTTTTTTATAATTAGAATTCTGGGGAAATTGTTGGCTATGCTACCTTATAGTCATACTTTTTGGAGGTTCTGACAAGAGTGAGATGCCTTGCTTCTCTTCGTCTTGATTGACCTGCACAAAGCACCAGCATGTGACTTTGCCATTTGCCCTGAGACTACAGACGGATCTCTGAACAACATGTGAATGAGTATCTCTTGGTTTTATTCTAGACACAAGTAAATTTGTCCTTACAAAAGCTAAGAAACAAAAAAAAAATTTTTTTTTAATTGTTAAAAAGCTAAGAAACCAGACTCCACCTGAGATTGTTTGCTCTTCCTAGTTCCTAGTTACATAACTGTAACATGTAAATCAGTGAGTGTGTTACTTGAAAATTTATAGCAAAAATAGACCAACATTTAGTATGGATTAGGAAAATAAGTTGTACAGCTGGCTAATGTAGAAAATTAGATGGGATCACTAATTGCTTTTTTGTATTTTTAAGGTTTCAATTTAATATTTCACCCTAAAAACAGATAGGAAAGAATGCCTTCTGTCTGGATCAGGCAATTTTTAGCCAAGGAAGTATAAGGAGACAGACATATGTTCCCTCAAATCAGATACCCATTGGCTGCTGTGTTTTATTTTTCAGGGTAGCCTTGTATTCGTGGTTGGAAAAATGGATGGGTTACAGATAGTTAGTGGCCGAAGACATAATGCTGATGACATTGTTGCAACTGGATTGGCAGTTGAATCAATAAAGACTGTCTATAGGGGCAGGTGAGTGGTAGAAAATTCAAATATGTTTGGAGCATTAGTTAAGGGCGAAGAATTCTTGATACAATAATTAAACTGGATTTTTCATAGGAAGTAAGTTACCTTTGTGACATAGAACTGAAAACTAGCTTTGAAAAATACATTTTATATGTTTAATAGGAATGTGAATGTAAAGCCTATATCAGACTGTGCGCTGTCTTGGGGAGAGTGGGGGGGAGGAAGGGGAAGAAAAATTTTCAACTCAAAAGCATATGGAAGTGATTGTTGATAAATCAAAATAAAGTAATGAAATTTTTTAAAAAAGAAAAATACATTTTAAAAGTTTTGAATTCCCTGTTCCCAAATGAAGTCAAGTGAACAAGCATTTATGTGTTTACTGTGTACTGAGCATTGAGTAAGTGCTGGGGATAGAAAGAAAGGCGGAAAAACAGTTCCTGCCTTCAGGGAATGGAATTCCACTTTCTGCCTTCACATTCTATTGGAGTACGCAGAACGTAAATAACCATGTACAAGATACGTTGTTCAGTCGTTTTCAGTTGTGTCCATTTCTTCATAACCCTATTTAGGGTTTTCTTGGCAAAGATACTGGAGTGATTTTCCATGTCCTCTTCTTTTACAGATGAGGAAACTGAAGCAAACAGGGTTTGCAAGTGACTTGCCTGAGGTCAGACAACTGTTAAATTTCTGAGGCCAGATTTGAACCCAGGAAGATGAGTCTTCCTGAATTCAGGCCTGACACTCTATACATTGTGCCGCCAAGATAAATTGGAGGCACCTGAGATAGAAGGCACTAGCTTTGAGGTGGACCAGGAAAGATTTTTTTTGGATATTATTTTATTTTTTCCCCAATTACAATTTTTTAAATATTTTTTTCAAAGTTTTGGGTTCCAAATTCTATCCTTCCCTCACTCCCTCTGTTCTCCCTTCCCTGAGATGATAAGCAATCTGATATAGTTTATACAATCATGTAAAACATTTCCATGTCAGTTATTTTGTACAAGAAAATGCCAATTAAAAAAAAAAGAAAGTAAAAAGTAGCATGCTTCAGTTTGTATTCACATGGTATCAGTTCTTTCTCTGGAGGCAGATAGCATATTTCATCATGAGTCCTTTGGGATTGTCTTGGCTCATTGTATTGCTGCGAATAGCGAGGTCATTCATAGTTCTTCATTATACAATATTGCTGTTACTGTATACAGTGTTCTCCTGGTTCTGCTGACTTCACTTTGCAGCAGTTCATGTAAGTCTTTCTAGGTTTTTCTAAAATCATCCTGCTTGTCATTTCTTATAGCACAATAATATTCCATCTAAAATCATATACGATAGCTTGTTTATCCATTCCCCAATTGGTGGGCATCCTCTCAATTTCCAATTCTTAGCCACCACAAAAAGAGCTGCTATAAATATTTTTGTACAAATAGATCCCTATTTTGTGGTCATGGACCCCCTTTGCCAGGCTAGTGAAGCATGTGGACCCCTTCTCAGAATAAAAGTTTTAAATAACTAAAGGAAATACTAAATTTCAGTTAGAGGTTAGAGAAAAAAAGATATAATTTTTTTTCCTATCCAAGTTCACAGACCCTTGAAAACTATCCACATACCCTTTAGTTAAAAGCTTCTGGTAGAAAGTAAACTTTTTACACTAGGATTTAAGGCTTTCTGTAATCTGGCTCCAACCTACCTTTCTGAGATATTGCCTTGCTATAATTTACATTCCAGGCCTGGGCTCAGCCTCCATACTTTCTGCACACTGTGTCTCCTGTTCACAGGATGGTCTCCTCACAGTTCTGAAATCTTTCAAGGCCCAGCTTTGTTGCCTTTCCCTCTCTGAAGCATTCCCTCATCTCCTCATTTATAAGTGATTTCCTTTCTCAAGTATTTTATACTGCACTCTTTGGCGCTCTCCTGTGAACATATATTATTAGTAGTATGTTGATTATGATTATTTTTGTTTCTTTTATGACCTCTGTTATATTGTAATTTTCTCAAGGACTATTGATTTTTTTCTTTTGTATCCTCAGATCCTAGTGTGTAATGAGTGGTACTTAATATTACTCTTTGTTGCGTTGATGTCCCCTTTCTCTGTAATAGCAATAGCCCACATTTATATGTGCTGCTATTATATATACTCTGTGGCCGCAGAGTTTTTATATACTTAGCTCAAGTGAGCCCCATAACAGCTCTGTGAAATTAACCAGTGTAAGTACTAGTCTCATTTCATATATGAGGAAACTGAGGCACGTGCTCAAGCTCACCCAGCTAGCAAGTGACGTAATTGGAACTCAGGCCGAACTCTTATTGTAGTGCTCTTCCCAGGGCCTCATGCTTCCTTATTTCATTTCACTAGAGGTTGAATGTGTCACTATATTTATGATTTTTCCTTCTCAGGATCGCTGTGTTCTCTGTATCTGTGTTTTATGATGAGCGCATCGTAGTGGTGGCAGAGCAGCGGCCTGATGCTTCTGAGGAAGATAGCTTCCAGTGGATGAGCCGAGTGCTACAGGTAAACCAGCCTCTCAGATATGGGGAATTAGGACCAGTAGGTTTTATTGTTAGACAGACAAGAGTCATTACCTAGTCTTGATGAGGATGTTAGCTTTCTTCCCACCTGCAAGTTATGGCCCTCACCTTGTTCTTTATAGCAGTCACCCACATGTATCTGATTACTTCTGGCAGAGGTTAGAGGACTAGTAAGTACCACTCATTCTGTTCAAAGTAAATCACCAAGCCCTTCCACTTGGCTTCCACCTAGTAACTGTACTCTTATGTTTTGCATGTCACTGTTGCCTCTTTCTTGTGTAAGTTTGAATTAAACAATTTCATCTTTCTTTCTTTATTTCTTTACTTGTTTTTCTGCCCATAAAATTGATGATCGTTAGATGGTTACGTATCTTAGACTTTTAGGGGTTTTTTTTGTTTTTTTTTTTTAATTTAACTTTATTTATTTTAGGTAGTTGGGATTAAGTGACTTGCCCAGGGTCACACAGCTAGTAAGTGTCAAGTGTTTGGTCTGAGGCCGAATTTGAACTCAGGTCCTTCTGACTTCAGGGCCGATACTCTGTCCACTGCGTCACCTAGCTGCCCCTTAGACTTTTGGTTTTGAACCAGTCAGTGGCTATTTATTGAACAACAACTAGGTGCCTAGAATTGTGCTAGACCTTTAGCAGGTTCAAGGAAAGATAGTTCCAGCTCTTAAAAAGCAGGAAACTAGTCTAGTTGTATGAAATAGAAAGTAGCACTAGACAGTCTATACATGTAGTCAGGTATACTCTATAAATGTAGAATGTTCAGAGAAGGGATAGGTCATTGGCCATCAGAGTTGTCAGAGAACTTTTCATAGAGGAGGCAATATTTAAGCTGTGTTTTAAAGAGTGAGTAGCATTTGGACATAGCAAGAGAATATTTGTGGCGTATCTGATGTAGAACGAAAGATGCATCACATAGTAAAAACTTGGTGAAAATTTGCATTGATTCCCTTGCCTTCCCCCCACCCCTACTCTTCAGAGCAGCTTGGCCATAAATGTTGGCTTCCTTATAATTTGTGCTGTGATGCTTTCATTGATCTGTATATGTCAAGTCTGTGGCTCTACCTCATTCTTCTGAGTCTTGAAAGGGGATTGGGTTTGATCTTTATTTAGCATTAAGAAAAAAACACATTTGAAAAAGAATCTCACTTGAAAAAAAAAACAGAAATATGTCCCTTTCAGAGTTAGGAAGCAATTACAGAACCTCAGATGGAAGGGAGTTCAAAGGTCATCTTGTCCGACCCATTACCTTATTAAGTCTCCCTTTTACAACATCGTAAACAAGTGGTCATCTAGTCTTCATTCAAAGACCTACACTACAATTTTCAACCCATCCTTCCTGAGAGAGCCAGTTCCACTTTTGGACAAGTCCAATTATTAGGAAGTCCTTCATATGCCAATCATAGCCCAATTCCTACCCCCTTATCAAACCGAACCATTGAATGTACTATGAACATACCAAAATGAAATTTGGGGGATGGTAATTACATCATATTTTTTGACTTGAGCCATGTGGAATGAGGATGAGGATCATTGTTTTCCTAGTGCCAAGAACACTGTTCCCATTGTAGAATAAGTACTAGACAGCAGAGCCAGGGCTAAACATTAGAATAAGTAGGCACTAGGTCATGACATAAAAGAGCATGATGAGAAGCATTTTTCACCTTGAATATAATAGGGCCTAAATAAATGCTTTTGAATTGAATGATCCTCTCTCCTTGTTGATTTATGTCATCTTATGTAACTATCGCACATTTGCTTTGGTTTTTTTCTGTAAGAGAAAATTCCCTTTTCCATAGCACTAATTCAGCTATTTATATTTTGTAGCAAGTCAAGTTGCATGTATTGTAGTGAAGGTTCACAGTACCCTAGTGAATTAATAACATACAAATGGATCTAATTTGGAGACTTTGCCTAGAGCACGCAATTGGCTTGGCTCTTCTGTATCCCATGTGTTCTCATATTTCAGAAGTCTTGAATCATAGTAATGGCTTGAGGTGGAATGGTTAAAGAATAACACTTCCTCATAAATTGGTAGTCAAAGGGAATCATTCAGTAAACATTAAGTGCCTACTATGTGCAAGGCACATTCAAAGTGTGCCTTGTGCCATGTGCAAGGGATTCAAAGACAAAAATGAAACCACCCCCTCAGAGAGCATGTATAAAGACAGATAAGTAATCACAAGGTTAAGGAGAGGGCTTTAATAGCTGGGAAAAGCAGGGAAGTTTTCACAGACAACATGGCACGTAAACAGCTATAGCATCATCTATAGAGAAATAATCATTAGTTATCAGTTACACACTCACATAGTAAGCACCTAAATCGACATCTTTTAAGGAAAGATCACTAAAAGGTGACATAATGCCAGAAACTGTACTTTCGGTTGAAAGATCCCAGACACTCATAACATAGGCATGTTGGTATTCTATAGACCCTAAAGTACATGGACCTGAGGGATTTTTCAGTCCTTTCCCCTCTGTACAGCTTATGTTGCTGAGTAATACTTAGAAATAAATATGCATTTTAGCCTGCTCCTCTATTTTCTTATTATTTTAATTTATTAATTTTATATAATTATTTGTAAATATGTAATTTTAGTGGTATATTTATAGTTAATTTATTAATTTAATTTCTTATTATTTTAATTCTTAATAAGTATTAAGAATGAGAAAAGAACAATAACCCTATAAGATGGCTCTTGCTTCTGCTTGCAAGTCCATTCTCCTTTAAGGCCATATCTCTTCATCCTTAAACTCAGCATATGCAATTGCTATATCAAAAACATTTTGCTTAAATTTAGCCAAGCTGAAGAGTGGTAGTCTGCCTCAGCTTGCCAAATGAAAGACCAAAACATCTTGGTCAAGTTTTTGCCTCATCCACAGGCTCATAGGAGCTTATTTAGCAAATTAACAACCATCTGTGTGATCATTCAGACTGCTTTTGCATCATTTTTCACTTCGCATCTTCACCACAGATTGAAAAGGAATAAGGGACCTTTGGGTGTATAAGCCACTTGTGTCTCGATTTGTATGTAGTTGCTGCTATCCACCCAACCTGGACTCCTTCCTTCCTCCCCCATACCCCAAGTACTGATTTATAAGACTTTAATGGAAGGAGTACTGTCTCCTTTCTATCCATTATCATGTTAATTTCCTGATGTTGGACTGAAAGTATAATAGGAAGAAAGAAAGAGGCCCAGGGCTATAAGAGGCGATAAAATATATTGGGAGGGGCAGCTAGGTGGCGCAGTGGATAGGGCACCGGCCCTGAAGTCAGGAGTACCTGAGTTCAAATGTGGCCTCAGACCAAACACTTGACACTTACTATCATGACCCTGGGCGAGTCACTTAACCCCAGTTGCCTAACCAAAAAAAAAAAAAAACCTTGGGTGGAAAATATATTAGGAGGAACTGATCTTTAATATAATAAAGTTGATTAATTAACAATTTTTCTTTGTGTTTGTTTAGGCAATTGACAGTATTCATCAAGTGGGAGTATACTGTCTTGCTCTAGTTCCAGCCAATACTTTGCCAAAAACTCCACTTGGAGGAATCCATATATCTCAGACAAAACAGCACTTTCTGGAGGGGTCTCTGCATCCTTGTAATATTCTTATGTGTCCACATACGTGTGTCACCAATTTGCCAAAACCCCGGCAAAAACAACCAGGTAATGTGTGGACTCCAGATTGTAACTTAGAGGAAAAAAGGTGTTTCAAGCCTGTTTCAGTTGCCATAATTTAGATACGCTTCATTTCACTTTTTTTAGCGTGACAAGTCTTATGCAAAAGCCATAACACAGAGTAACAGAGCACCAACACAAGCCCCTTTCTTGGGGTTTATAGCTGTCTATCTCTACTATTCACCTCTCAGTGATATGACTCCTCATACATCCCTGTGGGCTCTGAGAGCAGCACTATAGTTGGTGCAGTAACCAGAATCCTACATCTAGAACTAAGGGGAAACAAAGCTCCAAACAGAGCAGTCTTGAGGTGAAGGACCAGCTACTGGGAAACCTTTCTCCCTGGGATTATTGTTTACTCCTTTCCATATTCAGGTACCTGATTTTGCCCAATTATGGCTCTAGGGGGATATAATGCCTAACAAAAATTGCCTGTATCTAAACACAAGTTGAGCTCAAGTCACCATAAAACTTTAGGAAGAAGCTAATGGACTCAGCATTGCCAAATCAAGAAATCCAGGCTTGCTTAATTTAACTTTCTTTTTAGGGCAAACCTAGATTAAAGAACAAGGCAATTCCTGGTTCCTTGAACCTGGCATTCTAACATGTGATCATTAGAATTTAATGAGATCCTATATGGGATCATAGATCTAGAGCCGGAAGGAACTTTAAAGGTCATCTCGAATCTGGACCAGAGCTTACTGACCTTTTTTGGATCATGGGCCTTTCTCAGAGTAGTGGGTTTGTTTTGTTTTGTTTTGTTTTGATTCACAGTTGAAGGAAATGCTAAGTTTCAGTTAGAGATTAGTCTCATCCAAGTTCACAGGCTCTTTTAATCTGTCCATGGACCCTAGTTTATAGTCCAAACTAATCCTTTCATTTTACAGATGAGGAAACTGAGACTCATGAAAGTTCAGTGACTTGTCCCACACAAGTAGGAAGGAAGTGACAGAGCTGGGATTCAAATTCAGGCCGTGGGATTCTACATTTATATTGTACTGTATTGCCTCCATAGCTTCAAATTTTATTAATAATTTGTTTTCATTGAGAAATTAAATATTTTTATTTGCTGCTAATAGCATGAAAGTTCCCCATATTTGTACATGCCTGAGAAACAGTCACATGTTAGAGCAAAAAGGACCTTAAAAACATGATTTAGATTAACCTCTATTTTGAGGAATAGGAATTCCTCAAATGGAATGATGAGAAAACTGTGATGAAAAAAGCTGAAGTAACTCACTCAGGGTCTCACAACTGGAATCAGATCCTCAGTCACAACCATAATGCCCTTCCCACCACGCAGTACTTCCTCCCAGCCCAGAAGTGTGTTTTTCAAAGCAAAATATTTCAAGAATATACTCTAACCCCTTTTCTTTCAATGGCACCTGCTTGGAATTTGTAAGCAGATGATGTTATTTAATTGTGATAAAAACTGTAAAATATTTTGCTAAAAAATGATTGCAAAGTACAGCAGTAAATTATTGAAAGCTCTTTCTGTTACCTTTCATTCTTTCCAGGAAATTGTAGCAGATTTGTCTATTAAGATGTTTATATAAAGTGGATTCTTCTCTCTAGTAATATGAACTATAGTTATCCAGTGAATAATTTTATCCCAATTAGATACGTACTTATGTTTTTGATCATCAACATTTACTGAATACCCACTGTACCTAGCTAGGACATACATGATATTTTACCAGGTGCTAGGGTTGGTATTTATAGTAAATGGTGAAGACACTATCTCTGTATTCAGGAAGCTAGGATAAATGAGCCTATGTCCTGCTGATCAAAGGATTCATGGATCAAAATGCATACATATATATAATGCTATTCACATTTAAAAGTAATGACAAACTGTTTTCTCTTTTTTTGTTTGTTTCTTCTTTCTCGTGGCTTTTCCCTTTGGTTCTAATTCTTCTTTACAACATGACTAATGTAAAAATATGTTTATTATGATTATACATGTACACCCTATATCAGATTGCATACTGTCTTGGGAAGTGAAGAGCAGAGGAAGGGGGAGAAAATAGAACTCAAAATCTCATAGAGGTGAATGTTGAAAACAAAAAACAAATAAAATATTTTTTTAAGTTAAAGAAAATATCCCTCAGATTGACAAAGTTGACAAAAAAGGATAATTGCAAGTGTTGGTGAGGCTGTGGGAAAATAGTCACATTAATGCACTATTGATCGAGTTGTGAATTGGTCCAATCATTCTAGAAAGAAATTTGGAACTATACCTTTTGACCCAGAATTACTACTACCAGGCCTATGCCCCCAAAGAGAGAGAGAGAGACACAAAAAAAAAGAGTACCCAGAAATCAGAAGTATTGTAAGAGCTCTCTTTGTGTTGACAAAGAATTGAAAACTAATGGGATACGTATCAGTTGGTGGGGAATGGCTGAACAAATTATGGTTTTTAAATGTAATGGAATACTATTGTGCTATAAGGAATTATGAAAGGAATAGTTTCCAAGAAACTTAGACAGTGTTGTATGAACTGGTGCAAAATAAAGTGAACAGAACCAGGAGAACAATTCATACAATAAAAACAACTATAAAAAAAAAGTAATGACAAAAGCTTACAAAACACTGTCCTGCTTAAGTAAGTACACAAAATATACACACCAAATCCCATTACATTGAAGTTGAGACCATAAATATCTTTTAAATAAATGATTCTGTTTGGGGAAGCTGTCACCATATTCTCCTGGATGCTCAAAGTAACAATACTTTGAGTCTTGTATTGAATCTGTGTCATTCCCTTCTTAATTTCCTGTTGTGAATGTGCTGTTCAGACTACATAATCCTAAAATTGTATGCCAGGATCTCAGAGTACAAAGTGAATGAATAGATAAGTAGAGATGAAGTAGTTTGTAAACTATTCCAGGGACAGTAAGAGACAATGATGAAGGGGTAGCACAAGGTCTCAGAATGTATAGTAGTAAAAATGGACATAGTGACTCAGTTGTCAGAACTAGCTGAGGACATGGGAGAAATGGAGATGATGCTGTGGCCAGATTCTTATTTGGCAGGAACAGATGGATGGAGGAGTTGTGCAGAGCTGGTGAGAATAATGAGACATAAATCCAGTACGGGTGGTAGCGTGGTTACTACTGCTGATGTCACCTCCCAAGGAATGTACAATGAATATGTACGTGAATGTACACTGAAACAGTACTCTCTCTGTACGTTGCTCAACTTAGATTTCATCTAGTAAGTTTTATGTCCTAGGAGGCTGGCAGTTCCTCCTTGGAGTCAGGAGAAACCTAGGTTTCAAAAGCAAAGCAGCTCTTGACCCTTACTGTGCAATCGCGAGCAAGTTACTTACTTAGCCTCTTTTTCCCTGTAAAATGAGGATAATAATACCAGTTATTACCTATCAAATGAGATAATATATGTAAAGTACTTTGGAAACTACAGCGTTATTTAAATACCCATTGTTATAATTACTCCTCCTAAAAGATTCTCTCTCCATATCTGCATCTCTAGGTTTAGTATCCTTAAAATTTTGTGCTCTGATTGATGCAAATTAAGTTGGTGCTCAACATGAACCAGCTATAGTTCAGTTTGGATGTGCTTTTAGAGAAGTACAATTTGAGGTTAGTTTCCAAGATAAATTTGTCTTTGCTTACAGTTGTAGGTCCTGCCTCTGTGATGGTTGGGAACCTGGTTGCTGGAAAACGAATTGCACAAGCTGCAGGAAGAGACCTTGGGCAAATTGAAGAGAATGATTTGGTGAGAAAGGTCAGTGTTCCACTTGTAGCTTTGCAATACGTAGACTTATTATAGAAATTGCAGCTACAGAACAGGAGGAAGCTTAGGAGACTCAGGTCAATGACCCTGTTTTCTCTTTTTTATGATTGCAGCACCAGTTTCTGGCAGAGGTATTACAGTGGAGAGCTCAAGCCACTCCTGACCATGTACTCTTCCTCCTGCTGAATGCCAAGGTATCAGGAATGAAATAATACTGAATACTGTGCTGTATTATTCTGAGTACCTTTGATAGAGTTCTCATTCTTTCAGTAAAGTGAAACTCTACATAAGAAATCTGCTTTTCTTCTTATAACAAATAAGGATGATTTTCAGAATTACTGGAGGATTAAACTGTTATTTGCCAGCATAATTCTACTATGGTCATTAATAGAAGTAGGCAATAGCACAGATAATCCAAAAGTTTTTTATTTAGAAGTTTGACTTGTACTGTTTATAAACTTTTTTTATCCAGAATCATACCTTTCTAATTATGTTTGACTTATGTTAACATGAAATTAGTTTGTATTTCCTAAACTTAGATTAAAAAGAGTAAAGAAAAGAAACACAAAACTGTGTATGGGATGGAAAAGAGAATTTGAACTGGGCTTCAAAATTTGATATGGATAATCTACAAAGGCATAATATGTGCCTAGATTAAGAATTGGTTGTATTGTTTTTTTTCTGCTTTGAAATTTGTTTTCATTTTGTTTCTAAGCTCAACTTCCATTCCATTGACTATGTTTCTGTTTAAAGGGAACCACTGTATGTACAGCCAGCTGCCTTCAGCTTCACAAGAAGCAGAGAGAATTGCAGGAATTCTTTATGATAAGGGACACCTAAATGCAGGGGACAACGTAGTGCTTCTTTATCCACCTGGTAAGATTCTGGACAGTCAGTATTCTTTAATCCCAGGCTTTAGTTGTTTGTCACTTAACCTCAGAATCAGTGAAGGCACTGCATGCCTACAAGTTCAGGAATAGGGAGTATTTCATCTGCTATTCCTAACTCACTAATCTCTAAAAATCACCATGACTCAAAAGTGTCATGGAAATGATATTTGTTTGAAAGAATTTTCATGGTGTGATTAAACTGTAAATTGCTTCCATTATTGCTGTGTTTTCGATTCTTGTGTGATTTTTCTCGCTACTACTCCAGCAACCTCTTCTTCATAGTAAGAGAGAATCAGAATTATTTGATGACAGCTTGTTATGCACAGTGACATAATTACTAGTTGAAATATTTATATTGTTCCATTATTCTTTGCACTGTGCTTTATTCCTATCTCTTGCCCTGTTTCTGTCCCTAACCCTTTATACTTGGCTCCCTTTATACTCCTCTCTTCACTGTATGGATTCTTAGAGTAAGAGGAGACCCTTAGAGATCATTTAGCAAGTGCGCATACAATTTAGGATCCCCTCTATGGATGTTATCCAGCCTTTATTTGACTATTTCCAGGGAATAATACCTCACTAGGAAAGCAGCCCATTCTGTTTTGGATTACCTATGATTATTAAAAAGTTCTTTATAATAAACAAAAATCTGCCTCCTTGTAACTAAATTTTGGTCCTTCCTAGTAATTGGCCTTTATTCTGCCTGAAATTTTACAGAGTAAATCTAATGACCTTCTGCATGAGAGCCCTTCAAATGTTGGAAATCTTCCCTTCCATCAACTAAATATCCCCCATTGCTTCAGTCATTGCTCCAAGGGCCCAACTTCCACATATTTTGTTATCCTCCTTTCTCTTTTCCTCTGTCCCTCTTAATGTGTGGTTGCCAGTCAGGAACACAATACCCAGTGTTATCTGATCCAGAGTGAGGCATCATCTCCCCTAATCTAAACATTTCAACTTGAACTCTTAGGTATTTTTCACATGAACTGCTATTAAATCATGATTCTCCAATATCATATTTGTGTAGGTGGTTTTGTTGAACCTAAGCACAGGACTTTACATTATTTCCATTAAATTTTATCATTGAACTTTTTTTTCTCCATAAAATGTAGTCACTAACTTTCTTCAGCTCTCTTTTTTGCCTTTGATCTTTTCTCCTCTTTGTGAACTACCTTATTAACATCACCGCTGAAATTTTATCTGAATTACCCATTTGGCATAGGATTTGATGAACAGTGTATAAATTATCTGTTGTTGAGAATTCTAATACTTGGCATGTTAAATGATATTCTGTGACGATGTCCCCTCCTGTTGCCTTGCAGGCATTGAGTTAATTGCTGCATTCTATGGCTGTCTATATGCTGGGTGCATTCCTGTGACAGTTCGACCTCCTCATGCTCAGAACCTTACTGCCACCCTACCCACTGTCCGCATGATTGTTGATGTAAGCGCTAAGTGTAACCAAGCTAGTTGTTTTGTTTTGATCACCATTCCATCTGGGTTCAGACACTTGATGATTCTCAGGGATTTTCGAAATTGGTTTTCACTTTGAAATGGCTAGAGTTCATCTAAGAATTTCATGAAAACTCACTTTGATTTTTGCTAGATTTCTTCACATTAATCTTGTCTCTCAACTTTTATATAATGCCTGAAGATATAGGAGTGCTATATTGCAATTGATCATTAGTGAGTTAGAGAGTTTAAGTGTTTGTGGTGCCCTGTAAGGGCATGTGTAATTTTTATTACTTAAAACCCCATGAAACCTATCTTACTCTTTTCCACATAACCTCTTCATTCTTCCCTTTCCTGACTCATTCTTGACTTTGTTACTTTGGAATGTGATCTGGCATGACATTAAAAGAAGCCCAGCAAGGATGCCCCAGTATGTTTGTAGAGCAATCTGTTCCCATGGTATTAACAAAATTGTTTTTTAATCAAACAGAGGGCCCCAGTGACATAAGTTACTATAGAATATTTAGTATCCAAATGTCACAAGATCCAAGATAAATAAATTTGGTTGCACCGAATCCCATTGTAGTTTAGAGCACAGGGCAGTTAAAGTTTAAGTTTCAAATGTATATAATGTTTTTTTCTGAGAATGACTTATGTTCATAGGATCAAGAAGCGCTCATTATAGATTTTCTTAAGTCCTAATGGGTGAATTCTTCATAAACTTCATCACAGTCTGGGTAGTGGGGTTGAGAGATCAGAAAATGAAAATTCTGCTTTCCAAAAATATCAGGCAGTATAGTATGGTTAAAAGAGCACAAGACTGGAAGTCAGGACAATGCTAGGTTCAAATCCCACCTTCAAGCCTGTCTCACCCTTGGTTTTCTTATCTGTAAAAGGAGGCACTAATTCCTGTAGTATTCACCTCACAGGATTGTGGTGGGGATCTAAAGAGGAAAATACATGGGAAGTATTTTGCAAACCTTAAAGTGCTATATAAAAAGATGTTGTTGTTGTTGTTGTTGTTGTTGTTGTTATTATGTGTCAGTATGGGAGAAAACTAAGACTACAGAAATAAATTTTGTTCCATGTCTAGAAATGGACAACAGATTACATGTATACCTGCTTCATTGGCTGGATATCAGAAGGCCTAGATTCAAGTTCCAGCTTTGTTATTTTAGGCGAGTTGTATGATTTCTCTGGGCCTGAGTTTTCTTTTGTTTGTAGAATGAGAAATGAGAAATTTAGCCCAGATATCTGAGGTCCCCATGAGCTTCTACGACAAAAAAATGATACAATCCAGAGTACTTGCCTAGGTAGTAATATGTTTGATATCAGTACTGCTTGTGATTTTTTTTTTCTTCTTTTCTCATACCTGTTTACTAGGTCAGTAAAGCAGCCTGCATTCTCACAACTCAGACCCTGATGAGGTTGCTGAAGTCTAGGGAGGCAGCAGCAGCTGTAGATGTGAAAACATGGCCAACCATCATTGACACAGGTGAAAGGGTCATCATAACTTCAAACCTCCAAGCACAGTTCTTGGGCATTTTCTTCCAGTGTTGTTGAAGGAGTAAATTCTACTCATTCATTCACCTGTGCTACCTAAGAAAACCCAGAGAATTATATATAAATCATACTTACTTACGTAGCACTTGTATTGCAGCACATTTCATTTATATAGACACAAAATTAAATATTCATTAGACAAATTAAATTGTTCTAAATTGCATTGCAAAAAAAGCCCAAGAAATTATAATGACCTGACCTAAGTCCAAAGATTCCTGAATATCAAATTCTAAAAACAATTTAAAATGAAAAAGTTTTGTGAACACATGTTATAACTCACCACTATTCCTGACCAATAGTGTTGTATTCACTCTGGGCAGGATAATGTTTAAGGTGATTATAAAGTATTAAGAAGCTCTCACCTCTGCCTTTTAATCTGGTATAACAGAAAAATCACTTGATGAGGAGTTGAAAGATCTGTTTTCTAGTCCTGATTCCATAGCTTACTGACCATGTATCTTGGGGCAAATCATTAAACTTCTCTTGACCTCAGTTTCCCTTATCTGTATAATGGCAGTAAAGAAAACTGCTCTAATAGCACCGATGAAAATAAACTCCAGCTTGTTCTTACTTGGGGTGGGGGGTGAGGGTAGGGTACTAGTTGTTAGCGAATAATGAGATGTGTCAGTATTCTCTAGTTTGTAGACCTTGTCAGGTGGCATTAATTAGTTGATAATTTTTTTTGTCCAGACCTGTGATTTCATTAGTATAGGGCGTTCCCTGGTGAGGAAACTTAAGTACATACATACATATATATATATATACACACACATATATATGTGTGTATATATATATGTATATATACACACATATGTATATATATGTATATATCTTTATATTGACACACTTTAGATACTGAATTCACCATGACATGAGTGATTACTGTGGGACCAGTATTACAAATTGATCTATGGTTGGTGAGTTTAGTCTGAGAGGTTTCTAGGAAATGTCATGATGGGCATGATCTATGCAGTGGCATAGATCAGGAACCAGAAAGGTGCTTTGGAGGACTATAGGTTAAGAAAGCCTTTGACTCTTCAGGAGATTGGGTCTTAGGCTAGGGTATTTTAAGACCAAGGATAAAGCGCCCCAAAACCGGAGCTCAGTTTCGCTGCCTTTAAAGCATAGGTGTCTAAATTTCGTCTTTATCGAGGAAGCAGAAGGAGCCATTCTGAAGTTCTGAGGGCCGGGGTGTTGCATTCCATGAGTAAGGAGAGAGAGGGACAAAGGGGTCCAGCTTTCTGGCTGTGCTTTGGTTCATTGGAAACTTGACTGTATGAACCTCTAAAGTATTTTTTTAAGCCTTTCAATTACTTCATTATAGTTGTAATGTGCTAAGGATATAACTTTTAGATCTGTAAACAACAACTTTCTGAATCTAGGTTGACACTCAAAGAATTCCAGATTTTGCTTTTTAAATAAATTCCATCAAATGTACATAAAATGGTTTCTCTTCAGCCTGGTGGTGGTCTCATCCCAAAAGCACCTCCACACGTGACAGAATGGCCTCCTGGTTGAATACTTAAGTGAAGAAGCCAAAGCTTACTTAGTAGGGCACAGAAACTAAACTTTGCTGGAATAATTTCTAAGAAACTACTTGAAATCAGTCAACTAATTATTAAATTTTTTAAATTTATTAAGCACCTACTGTCTTCCATGCACTGTGCTAAACATGAGAGCTACAAAGACAGAAAAGAAACAATCACTACCCTCAATGAGTTTTCATTCTTATAGAGGAAGCAACTTTGTACACAAATACAAACATTAAAAAAAAAATACAAGGTAATTTGGGGGGCTGAGCAGAGAGTACATTCCAGGCATAGGGGATAGCCTGTACAAAGACAAAGAGAAAAAAATGGGCAGTGATTTTCATGTTCTGACACTCCTGACCAGCGTGGGTTATTTCTTTGCAGATGATTTGCCCAGGAAGCGGTTACCTCAGCTGTATAAACCTCCCACCCCGGAGATGCTGGCATACCTCGATTTTAGTGTTTCCACAACTGGCATGCTTACAGGAGTGAAGGTAGAGTGAGGGATCGTGTTCAGATGCTTGCTGGGTGTCGACAACACCAAAAAATTGTTCTGTTTGAGCACAGGGGGCAGAACTAGGAGGAAGGGTGAAAGTCATGGAGAGGCTGATTTAGGCTTGATAGCAAGCAAAGTTACTACTAAGTAAAATTGTCCCAAAGTGGAACAGGCTGCCTCAGGAGGGGATAGCGTCCCCTCATTGAAGCAGAAGCTGGTTGACCACTTGTCAGTTATATGATAGGAGAGCTTTCTTTTGGGATTAGATGGCTGTTGAGGAGCCCTCCAACTCTAAAATTCTCAGATTATGTGAAATTACACTTATATAAAATCTCTGCCGTGATGTCCCTCCATTACCGATCTCGACCCTATTGTGAACCAGTTCAGTTTATACTGTTGCTCTCTTGGCCTATTTCCAAACCCCAGGAGGGTTCCCAACACCATCCACTTGGTTAAACCTGTTAACTGGGTTTACTGTAAATTTATGTTAATCTCAGCACTACAATGCCACTTTTTTAATTTTTTCCCCAACTCTTACATTCCCCACAGCTAGTTCCAGATCATTTCCTCCTTAAACTTCTCACATACCATTCCCCTTCCCTTCCCTTTCAGCAAAAGACTTCTCATTATACTTAGATCACATTTTGTGAGCTCCCTTTTTTCCACAGCTCTGTATCTCACAAGCCATTCTCTCTTTTTCTTCAGTCTCTGAACAAGAGGTGACTTCTTAGTCTAACTTCTACTTCTGTCCTTGATTCCATCACCGATTTTCTCTTCTGGCAGTCAGATTAGCTTCTCAGTTATCCCCTCTCTTTAATCTTTGATCTCTCCCCCTATCCACCTGCTGCTTAGAAAGATGCACAGACCTTAGCTATCCTCAGAAAAATTTCAGTAGAACTTACCATTCTCTCAAGCAGTTATCTTTCTTCTGTCCCTTTCATAGCCAAACTCCTAGAAAAGGGTGTCTGTGCTCTCCATTCATTGCCTCTACTTCTGCTGTCCACCCCATGCAGTGTGGCTTCCATCCTCATTATTCAGTGGAAATATCTCTTGCCCAAGGTTTCAGTGATCTCTTAATTGCCAGATCCAAAGGCCTTTTTCATTCCTTATCCTGCTTGATCTTTTTGCACTGTCTGACACTGTGGACCACTTTCTTCTCTCTGGGTTCTTGTGACACCACTTCCCCTGAATTCTCCTGTCTAGCTGACCATTTCTTCTTTGTCTCCTTCTTCTAGATCATTCTCCACATCCCATGCCCTGAGGACATACTCCAGGGCTCTACCTTGGGCCCACTTCTTTTCTCTCTGTACACACGTTCTCTGCCTTTACACAGCCTGTCCCCCTGTGCCTAGAATGCACTCACTCTCTCTCTATCTTCACCTATTAAAAATCTTCTACTTTTTTCAAAATTCCATTCAAATGGTACAGCCTCTTACATCATATATTTTCTGACCTGCTCAGCTGTTAGTGTTCCCTCAAAAATGACTCTGTATTTTCTTTGTAAGGACTCTACTGTCTTGTTACATGTTCTTGTTGTTTCTCCTAACTGAAGGTAAGCTCCCTGAGGGCAGAGACTCTCATTATCTTTGTGTTTCCAGAGCTTAGCATTGTATATAGCTTGCAGTAGGTGTTTAACAGATGCTTGTTTATTGATTAATTGATTGCCCTGGGGCCTTCCCTTCATTGTAAAAGGACTGGATGACCTTCTGTTCAGAAGCCTGGTGCTAATGCAAGTTTATCATTCACAAAGGTGACATTTATCAAAATTATTATTTTCTCTACAGTAATCCAAGTCACCATAAATTGCCTAATTTTCTCATCCTAGCACAGTAGCTAATGATGTGATGTGTTAGATAATTAGAATTATAGCTGTTGAGAAGCCATTGACTCAAGAATCTCACTTTAGTCTAACCCTGCACTGAAGTCCTACTCCCGCCTTATTATAGTGTAGAAGTGACCTTCATTTCTGAAAGGCTGTCAGCATAATACAAGCTTTGATAAGTGCTCTCTACTAGGAACAGAGGCTTGGAATATAGGCCTAGTGTCACTGTCTTTCAAAAACCAGCCTTACTAGGTTTGGATGGCTTGGCCAGTAGGTTATAAATTTTTTTGGTCATAACAACTTATCAAATAGCTCGCTAAGGCAAGAGGAGTTATAATCTACTTTAGTAAAGAAAGATTCCATACTAATGCAATCACAGGTTTTTTTTAAAAGCATTGAAGTCAGATAATGAGAATGTCAACCAATAAGAGGCCATTGTGCCAAGTCTTAAAAAAACTGAGCTTTTTGGGGGCAGTTAGGTGGCCCAGTGGATAGAGCACCAGCCCTGGAGTCAGGAGGACCTGAGTTCAAATCCGACCTCAGAGACATAACACTTACTAGCTATGTGACCCCATTGCCTAGCCAAAAAAAAAAAAACCCAAAAAAACCTGAGCTTTTGAAAGGAGGATTTATTTCCATTTATGCCAAGAGGATCTTTTTAAGAAAAAAAATTCATAGTATTGGCAACTTAACTAAGAGATGTTATAGCTTGAGAATCAGAACAATTCTTTGAAGGGGCGGGGGATCACATTTTTCACTTTTATGCTTTGAGGTGTTTGGGAAAATTAAAAGTCATATGTAGCCGGCTCTGGGCTACCCCTTGTCAGTGTTCCAGCCATACCTGTTGTTTCACCCTTGGAATCACCATTCTGTCTTCATCTCTGCTTCATACCTTGCAGATGTCCCACTCTGCTGTAAATGCTCTTTGTAGGGCCATCAAACTCCAGTGTGAGCTATACTCCTCTCGGCAGATAGCCATCTGCCTTGACCCCTACTGTGGACTTGGCTTTGCACTCTGGTGCCTCTGCAGGTAAGGGTTTCAAACTGAGAAACTGTCAGAAGTGAAATGGTAGACTGGGTTATTGCCTTCCTACTGTTAATTAGGCATCTTAATAATTTACTGTGATTTTAGTCATGTTTTTAAGTTCCTGATATTTATTTGCTAAATGCATCATAGGTATTGATTTGGTCTTATCCTGTCTTTTTCCATTGAATTGTTTTCATACTAGTTAAAAGGGAAGTGGCTAGTTATTACCCTCTTCCTCTCTTACCCAATAATTCCCTTCTTAAAATTAGTGCCAAGTTGGAGGATAACACTAATAAATTAGGACATGACCAGAAGATCAGAATGTGCCCCCCCAAACATGTTCTTGGCACCCGAGAACGTGGTCAGATGAAGTGATAGTGGGTGGCAGAAAAGGACCCTCCCTTTTCATGTCAGAAAGCTGCCTGTGTTATGGGTAAATGCCATCTTCTTGCAGGTACACACTTCCTGGGGATATTGGTTCTACAGCTCTGGGCCCAGTTCTTTTACATAATGGTTTCTAGGATTCTACCATAATCTCAGACATTTCTTCTCAATCCTCTCTCTGCTGCAGTGTATATTCAGGTCACCAGTCTGTTTTAATTCCTCCCATGGAGCTAGAAAACAACCTTTTCCTTTGGCTTTCTACTGTAAACCAGTACAAAATAAGGGACACTTTCTGTTCCTATTCAGTAATGGAGCTGTGCACCAAGGGGCTTGGAAACCAAGTGGAAGTCTTAAAAGTAAGTGATTTTGTGATCTGACATTAAAATTGGTGTAAAAAGTGACTAAGGAGATGGTCCTATAAGAATTTGAAGAAACATTGCATTTTTAAAGGGCGGGGGGAAAGGTTGTCATTCATCCCATTTTAATTACATGGATGGCCCTGAAAAATCAGCTGGCCACAAAGCACTGGCATGTCTGTTCCCATTTTTCTGGCAAGTCCATTAAACAGATTCTTAGTGAGCCCTGAGGCAGCTATTTCTTAACTCCCTGCTTTGTGAGGAATAGTAATGACCATTGGGAAAATCAGTGGAAAGCTGGGTAGAAATGACACCTTATATAGATAAGAGAACCATGACTTCAAATGAGATTTGAGATCTTAGATGCAAGAAGCAAAGACAACACCTTCATTATTTCAGTAGATTGGTTTTTGTGTTTTCAGAGTGTCTGATAGGAAAAATCATCAAGAAGCGACGAAAAATCATCAGAAAAGCATTTTAAAAGGGGGGGAAAGTATGAAATGTCAACTTTTATGTTACCATGATTTTCTTCCTCGTCACCAAGACAGTATTGTCTTTAAGAACAGGAGTAGGAGACTGGAAAACTGTACTCAAGGGTTGTACATCTGTTTGTTTGTTTTTTTAAAGAAACTCATTTTTTCTTTGTGAAAGAGGGATAGAAAGGGAAAACAAGATAATTAACAAACCAAGAAACTGAAGATTTGAAGCTTAAAATGAAGAAAAATATACAGTCATTTTATCAGCTAGAAGCAGTGCCTCTAACTAGTATTACTTGGGTATTTTCTGTTCCCAAATCTCTTGCCTTTCCTCTAAATGTTTATAGTGAGACATTGGAGTCCTTTAGTTTTGTATCTGGCTAGAAAAGCATAGCTAATTATTCATTTGCTGTATGTCCCTATGTGTTATTGATCAAACATTTTTACAGGCAAGAGGCATAAATCTGTCCTGTGTCCGGACCTGTGTGGTTGTTGCTGAGGAGCGGCCTCGTGTCAGCCTCCAGCATTCCTTCTCCAAGCTTTTCAAAGATATTGGCCTCTCTCCACGGGCCGTCAGTACAACATTTGGATCAAGAGTCAACGTGGCAATCTGTTTACAGGTGACCTTTTAGAAAGTTTTTTCACTTAAAGTTCTACTTTGTTTTAGAACCAGTAAAGGAGTTAGTGCTCCTTCCTTGTTCAAGAGCATACTTTGGAACTTCTTGGGCCTTACTTCCTTTTAGTCCTCTTTTTCTATGTCCTCAACTCTGTGCCATCAGGAGGATTTTTTTTAAAAGGGTACCAGCCTTTCACCAGATGTATTCTAACTAACTTTGCCCTTTTACTTCTAAACCTGGGATTGGGACAGAAGGGAAATAGCTGGAGTTGAGGCTGCTTTCAGACAGTTTGATAGAATAAAGAGTGAGCCAGAGAATTAAAGAGGATACTAGTTTACTTAGTCTTTGAATTAGTTTTATAGATATTTTCTAGCTCTTCTTACCCATTTATGCTAGAATCCTCAAAAGGTGAGATTATCTTCTTTGGATTTGTAACATTGAAGCATGGCCAGTGATTTAGTATGATTTCCACTGACATCTTCATGGGTTTCGTTTTTTCATCATTCTGGGACCATGTTGGCTGATATACCTCCTGGCCCCCAGCAACTCTGAGCCTAAGGCAGGAAGATGCTTTACTTACTTCCTGGTAAACCCTGAAAATTGCTGTAGCACCTAGAAATAAGAGGAGGCAGAATTCAGGGATCTCACCCTATTGCAATAAGACCAACTTGTTTATACAACTTTATGGCGTTGAGATAATGAACACTAAATTGAACTGTGGATCTTCCATTTCTGTTTATAAGTCTTTACCAAGTTGCAGAGAAATAGGAAGAAGATGGATAATTTTCAAAGTGAGGTTTATGTTCTTTATCTGCATGATTGAATCTGTTTTATTGTTTTTACTTTAAAATGGTAAAATAGAAAAAACACAAAATGATTTCTTCTGAATAAATAATATTGGAATTTTTTCTTTTCTTTAGGGAACATCAGGACCTGATCCAACAACTGTGTACGTAGATCTGAAATCGTTGAGACATGACAGGTAAAGTAGTTTCAGATTTATATTAAATAAACCCCTTTTAGAATTGGCAGGTACCAGTTAAATGCACAGTGACAGAGCCAACTTTTTCTTTACACTCTACTGAGTAAAGGATGGCATACCTTAATTTTTATTAGCACCTGATGGATTTACATAGGGCAACAGAAAATTTTTTATGCAGTGTTGGATGAACTGTATTTCTGAATCAGAGTAATAGTCACAATATTTAAAGCTGGAAGAGACATTAAAGGCCATGTAGTCAAAGCCTTGTATTTTACACATGAGGAGCCTTAGGCCTCAAGAGGTAAAATACCAAGCCCACAGGTGACGAATGGCAGCATCGGAATCAGTTCCCACTTTGTGCATTAGGTTGTATTGGGCGCTAAGCAGAAATTAATCTAAAACAAGAAATGGTTCCTTTGGTTTGAGAGTTTTCATTCGAAATATAGAAGACCTAATGAACAAATGGAAGAAGCACCAGACTAGGGAGTCCAAAGACCTGGTTTGGAGTCTTGGCTCTACCACTTAACAGCTGTGTGGCCATAGGATAGGCAAGTCATGGAACCTCATTGAGTCTTGGATTCCTCATCTCAAAAATGGGAGCATTGATGACCTCTGAGGTCTCTTCCTGCTCTCAAAGTCTGTGATTCTGTAAAAGTGCAAATTTGTCTGTGATTCTAAGATAATTGACTTCATCACATATTTATTAGGTTCTTACTACGTGTAAAGCATTGGGCTTGGTCTTGGAGATGACACAGACCCTCTCCTTAGAGACTGGTAGAGGAGGGACACATCTACAGATAACTAGAAGGGAAAATGAGTAAATACTGTAAGAAAGGTCCAGGCAAAGTGTGATGAGAAATTGAGGGATGATCTGAGGAGGGACGTCAGTCCTCGGTGCTCTGGGAAAGATGAGGAGGAGGAAGGGCAGCATAAACACAGGCCACAGACACAAGAGAGGGAGAAGATAAGGATGTAGAGTAGTACAGATCAGCTGAAGAATGTGTTGTATGAGATAAAGTTGTTCAGCTAATTTGGAGCCAGGATGTGGAGCAGATACTTGATCAATAGGCAGTGAGCTACTGAAAGTTGCTGAGGAGAGGAATGATAACAAACTAGCCCTACATTAGGAAGATTTACTCCAACAGTAGCTGGAAGATGGCTTGGAGACTAGAAGTCTCCAAGATACGCATTAGCAGGTTCCAGAAGAGATAAGAGCCTGAATCAGTGTGGCTGCTCTGGCAGTAGGGAAGATAGCAAGATGTACAAATGAGAGGTCTTGACACCTAACTAAATACCTGGGGGGAAGGAGAGCTTATAAGGGAAAGGCAGAGGAAGGGAATAAGTATTTATATAGCACCTATTATGTGCCAGGCAACAACCCTAGGAGGTTAGGTGCTATTATTATCCCCATTTTATTGATGAGAAAACTGAAGCAGACAACAATTAAGTGACTTGTCCCAGGTCACAGAGCTAGTAAGTATTTGAGGCTAAATTTGAACTTAGGTCTTCCTGACTCCACGCCCAGAATCCTATGCACTGCACCACCTGGCTGCCCAACTGTTGAAAAAACATAGATGTAGAATTGGGGTTTTGAAACATGAAATTTGTTCTGAGCCTAAGGAATTGGGTATTCTCCTTTGGTTTTGAAGGAAAATTTAGTTGTAATTTCTTTTTAAGTGCCCTGGGACCCCTTTCAGAAGTACCACTAACTTTCTGTGTGTTGATGAAATCCCTTTAGCTTATTGCTACAAAATAGTTAGTTAGCTACTGGTAGATTTCAGAGGACTCTAGACTTTCTCCAATATCTGAGTCTTTCCTAAAAAACGAGAATTTCTCTAACATTTGATAGGCTTTACTGAATAATGAAGGTCAGCCTCTTATTTCTTCTGCTTCATGTATGCTATTTTACAGGAAGCCACATGATCAGAACCTAGAATAAATGTCAGTATTTAAAAGACATCACATTATAAGCAAGTAAAAATTTTGTTAAATGATACAAAGCTAAGGGGGAAAAAACCTAGAAGACTTGAGGTTACGCTAACTGCAATCATGGGGAAAAGTGAATGAAAAGAAAAAGTCAGAGACTCTTGATGGGGATTTAGAAGGAGGAATGAAACAAGTGTTATGATACCTTATGTTATGATATATTGAAATTAATCAAATTAAATGTAAATAGTTATCAAGCAAGAAAAAAATTAATAAATAGGAAGAATTATCCGTTGCCTAGTCTTGCCCCCTCAGTGGCAGCAGGTACCTTACTGATTAAGTGAAACAAGCTAGTAGTTTTGTAACCTGAAGATGTTTTGAATTTATTTTTTCAAGGTACATATAAAATATATATGTATGTACACATATATGTATGTGTCTACAGAAAACGAGAGAAAATCCCTTCCTGACAAATGTGTTGGTTTTTTTTTTCATAGGGTTCGTCTTGTGGAACGGGGAGCTCCCCAGAGTCTACTTCTTTCAGAATCTGGAAAGGTAGTTTGGGAGTTACCTATTTATATTACTTTTACCTAAACAATATGGTGTGGATTAAAGAATTCTCAGGTCATACAGCCCATTCGTTTCCTGGAACTAATGACAGCTGGATAATAATTAATTGATGTACAAAAACTAATCCCCATGGCTTACCTTTGCCAGTAGCTTGAAAGTCTTCCACAAGCAGCTTTTTTCTAGAGTTGCAAACAAGAAGCAGTATCAGCCAGTTTGGATTTGTGTTCTCCCTAACCTTATCCTACTGTCTTGTAAAAAAGCTAATGAACAGAAAATGGTTGCATAAACAAGAACGATGTACTGTGAACTCTTGAATCAAATGAGCTTTTGATTTTTTTTCTCCCATAATCACCTAGTCACAGAATTTGAGATTTGGAATGGACCTCAACAACCATCTCATCCAGACCATATCTGAAAAGAATCCCCAGTGTCACATACCTTGCAAGGGTTTACCAGGTTTCAGCTTGAAGACCCTCCAAGTGTAAGACAAACTGGCCCCTCTTCCAGTTTTGGAAACTCTTCCTTGTGTCAAGCCAGCATGACCTATTTGCAGAATAGTCCACATCTTCTGCGTTTCAGCCCTTCAAATACTTAAAAACAACTATCATAATATTCTCAGTTTTCTCTTCTCCAGGATAACCCATACCCAGTTCTTTTTAGTTGATCTTCATATGACTTGGAAATATTTTCCTGATAGTTTCAAAGAGTAGTGAGGTGAATGAATAAGTGACGTAAGAATCTCTCACAAAATACAGTTATTGGTAGGTTAGCATTAATCTCTGTGTGTCAAGTAGTAATACTTAGTAAGTATTTATTTAGTGCTTACTTGAGCCTTGGCACAGGTCTTCAGTTGTTCTTCTGTTCATTCAATAGTCAATAAACATTTATTAAGTACCTACTATGTGCCAGACACTGTGCTAAGCACTCAGTTCAGTATATCCATGGAAGATCCAAGCAGAGAAGTAAAGATTACATAATTATTAAATTGGCAGATGGTAACAAATTAGGTAGACTGCTAATAATCTAGACCCCAAGTCAAGAACCTGCCTCTTGAAGGCCTTTTGTGACCCTAAGCACAACCTCTTTGCATACTTGTCTAAAAAGACTACTAGAAAGTGATTTTGAAAGCAATATACATGAAGGCTGACGGGAAGACTCCTTAGAGTGATTGGCTTCCTAATGAACTAAATTTCCTGAACTTTGGTCTAAAAGATAGGATAGGGAGAAGCACTGCATCTGTGATTTCACTGACACAGGGAACTCTCTCAAGTGAGAAAACTCTTTCTGTCGATGCAGTTCATTGCCTTCTTGGCAGTTTTATAGTTGAAGGGTGACTTAGAGCACCCAATGGTTGAATGGCTTGCTCGTGGACATACAGATGTTACCTGTTAGCAGCAGTAACCTATCCCTCCCAACAGACTGGAATGGTGGCCAAATTTAATAAGAGGAAATGTTATAAGGATAAATGAAAAGCCCCACAGATAAATTTTTAAAAATCAGATGCACAACCAGAGACAGGAAGAAACTGGCTAGAAACACAGTTTGTGTGAAGAGGACCTCAAGTTCAAAGCAAGTCAAGAGGATGATGTAGTGGTCTAAGAAGCTGTAATCTTAGGCTGCCTTAATAAAAGGATCATGTCCAACAAGGAGGAGATGATCACATTGTGCTCTGCTCTGTTCAGAGCACACATAGAATATTATATTTAGCTCTAGATACCAAGTGTTAGGAAAAAAAAGAACTAATAAATTGGACTGTCTTCCAGAAGACAAAAGCCAAGATTGTAAAGGGCCCTCAAATTTAGTACCATGCAAACATAAATACCGTACAAAATTTAGCTGAAGGAAATAGGGATTCTTAGCAAGTTCATGATCACAATTTTCATATGGCTAATAGGTATTTATTTTTTACTCTCAGGTTTTATTGGTGTCTTTCAAAAAAAAATCACAGTGAAAGGCTAACACATAAAGAGACAAGTTCACTTGTTTTGCTCAGCCCCATTTGGCAGAATTAGGGCCACTCAGTGGAAGACATAGAAAGACATATTTTGATTCTCTACAAGAAAACATTTCCCAACAATCAGAGCTGCCCTGAAGTGGGAAGAGCAGTCTCTCCTTCCCTGGGGGTCCTCAAGAAAAGAACTAGATTAGATACCTTTGATAGCTACTGATTAGAGAGTGAAGCAGAAGAATAAATTCTTAGCCAAATCACCTTACATAGAGGTGACTGAAAGTCAAAGCGAGTGAACAAGCATTGTTAAGGTCTCTCTCTGTGGTAGCCACTGTGGTTAAATATTGAAGATGTACAAATATACAAAATATACAATAGATCATTCAAATCACACAAAATTAAAAAGAATCTGAACAAACAAAATTAATGCAGGACTTGACACTGGGTGTTCCTGACTTTGGGAGCTACTCTTTAGCCACCCCACTATGCCTCCTTCTCTGAAACATAAGAATTAATTTTAAATGACTTTTAACCAACTAGAAAATAGTCCTACCAAAGCAGAATGAAATCCAGTAGGAATTAAGTATGGAGGGATGTACCTGAAGACAACAAAGCAGTGGTTAGAAAGCAGGATGAACGTTGACTCCATGGATATTATTCAAAGGAAATAGACCTGAGTTCGTAGATGATGCAGATGTAATACAAGTCAGTAATGTAGCACTGCTGTGGAGCGGAATGACCATCATGATTTGGGGATTCTTCTATATTCCTCTGCTTTAATTTGCATTCATAATTACATCCAGTTCTAGTTGTAAAAAGATGTAGAGAAATTGAAAAAGCAAAGGAATCAAATAATAGGTTTCATGAATTTTTTCTTGTCAAAAACATAATAATCAAGTTGGGTAAGAAAAGATAAAAAGATAAATTATATACCAAAGTAGCATATACTTAAGTGCTAAATTAGTATTAAAGACAGTAATCACTAGGTAAATTTAATGTAGAGAGAGAGTGAGCCTATGGGCTAGAACAGTCAGATCAGGGGAGGCCTCTTAAAAGAGTTTGGTCTTGAAGGAAAGGAGTACTAAGGATCAGATTAAGAATAAGGTAAGCATAGTCATGAAACTCAGTAATACATATGGCATATTCAGAAGACGACAAATCACCCACTTTTGCTAGATCAGTAAGTTTATGTAGAATAGGTGTTCTTAATCATTTTTGTGTCCTGGTCCATTTTTGTAAGTCTGGTGAAGCCTATGGACTCCTCAGAATAGTGTTTCTAAATGCTTAAAATAAAATTACATAGGATTACAAAGGGAACCAATTATATTGAAATACTATTATAAAAATTTTTTTTTAAATTTACGGACCCTGGGTTAAGAATTCCTGGTGTGGAGGAGAAGATAAGGTTGGTTACATAGCTTGAAACTAGATTAAAGATCAATATGAAGAAAAAGAACATATTTTATACAACTTATTGATTGATAATAAATGCTTATTGTTAATTGATTGTATAGACAATGAGAATTTGACAAATTCATCTGGCAGTGATGTTTTAGTATAAAATAAATTGTCTAAGAAACTAAGGCCTAAAGTTTAAAAAAAAATTTTTTTAATCTGAATTAAAACATAGCAGTAATAATGGAAATGAAGAAATAGGTGTATGAGGTGGACCGGGGCATCCCAAGCAAGAGGAAAGAAAACATAAACAAAAACCTGGATGATGAGCAATAAAAATTACCTGACTGAAGCAGCAGGCCTAAGAAGAGAAAAAGTTGTATCTTGCATTTAAATGTAGTGGATTGATTCTGGAGGACTTGGATTGCCAGATTGAGGAGTTTGGACTTGATTCAATAGGCAATAGGAGTTCCAAGTTTTTGAGTAGGACTGGCATGATGAAAGAGGTATGTTAGGAAGATTAGTGTGGCTGCATTAGGCAAGATGGAATGGCAGAGGAGAGAATTAGGGACAGGAAAACAATCGAATGATATTTCTGAGTCTCACCAAGATATTGAAAAAATAAGGGAGATGTAATTTGGTGACTGAACATGAAAAGTGAAGGCTTTTTTTGCACCCTGTACAGACCATAACAGCTATTGTCCACTGAACCTCTCCTGTCCACAGTCACTCTCCCTCTTTTCTCCTGGAATTAAGTGCCTGGCTCACTATCTAGTCCTCTTCTTCCCCAATGCCTGCCCTTATACTGCCCCTATGCATTCGTATTGATGCTCCTTCAAACACTCTAACAATTTGCTTCCTCAGATCTCATGAACTACTTCAACTCTACCTCCACCATGTAACCCTAGATCTCACCATTATCCACAAGTCTTTCATTTCCAAAATCATGAAACTGTGACACTCCTTTTTCTGAAATAACGTTTTATCATTCCATCTCTCCATATGTCTGACTCCTACTAAATTTAAATTTAAATTCTTTGCTTTGTGACTTCTAATTCCCCTCGACCCCTCAATGCTTTCTCAGGCTGTTATTCCTGCTTTGACTACACTTTCCTCCACACTGTCCTTTGTTCTTGAATCCCTTGCCAAACTCCAACACTAGATTGTGTCCACCATTCTAGTTATCTGCTATTATTCATGTGCTGTTGAACAGAATTAAAGGAGTCACTAAACCAGATTAAACTGGGCAGTCATTGCAGGAAGGCAGTCCATTCGCTCCAACCTAAATGATTCCCTACTTAATTCCATATAGTGGCTATTCCAAAACTTTTTTTTCTTTAATGATCCACCATGATTCCCTCTACTCACCTTTTTTCTCTCAGAACTCCTAGACGTTACTCCTCATTCTCCTTTCCTCTACTCAAGACTTTTCTTGAGACAGACAACCACTCTTCATGTACCAACAATTTCATCCTTTCCTGTGTTCTCCAGGAGATTGTCCACATAGTCATCCCCACCATCTCTGTAATTTCCAGTCACTCCCTATGTACTGATTCTTGTTGCCTTTGAATATACCCAGGTCTTCTCCATCCTTTAAAAAAAATCAAAACTATACTAGATCAGCTTTACTTTATCAGCTAAGCTCCAAGAAAAAGCTGTCTGCTCTCAGTACCTCCACTTTGTTCACTTATTTTTCAACCCTTTGTGTTCTAGCTTCTGCACTCAATTTAAACTGCTGTCTACAAAGTTAACAATAATCTTTTCATTGCCAAATCTGATGGTCTCTTTTTCAGTCTTTATTCTTCTTGATTTCTCTATAGTATTTGACACACTGTTTAGCACCGTCTCCTCTTAGCTGTTCTTTTTTCTCTGGGATTCTTATGGCATTACTCCTTCCTGGTTCTCCTACCTTTCTAATCACGCATTCTGAGTCTTCTCTTCAGCCGTCATCCATGTCACATCTTCTGACTTTAACTGTACCCCCAAGTTCTTCCCTGAAACCACTTCCCTTCTCCCTTACATTCTCTCTTTCTTGGTGACCTCGTCAACTATGGGTTTATCACATCAATACAGATCACTTGCAGATCTATGTGTCTCACCCAAATTTCTTGCCTGAGCCTCTGTTCCATATCACCAATGGCCTGTTAGGCAATTTGGATATTTCCCAAGTTTTTAACTTCAAATTCTCCAGTTTTTCATATGTGGATGAACCTTTGGAGGGCAAAACTCTGAAGCAAATTTTGTCCTGTATTTTGTGGCCTCTTATGTGCAAATGAATCAACCACTCACTCAGGGCACTGAACCAGATGTAACCACCTTCTCAGAACACTAAAACAAATTTATGCTTCAAACAGATGAAATGTCAGAGTTTACACATACACAGATAGACACACACACACACACACACACATACACACACACACGTGGGCAAATAGACTGTAAACTCCTTGAGAGCAGATTGTCTTGAACCCCTGCACCCTGTACATTGTTGTTGTCCATTCATTTCAGTCATGTCTGACTCTTCCTGACCCCATTTGGTGTTTTCTTGGCAAGGATAGTGGTTTGCCCTTTTCTTCATCAACTCATTTTACAGATGAGGAAACTGAGGTAAACTGTGACTTGCCCAGGATCCCATAGCTAGTGTCTGAGGCCAGATTTGAGCTCAGGAAGCTAGTCTCCCTGACTCTAGGCCTGGCGCTCTATGGCATCACGTGGCTGCCCACAGCTGTCACATAATAGGTGTTTTAATAAATGTTTGCTGATTGATTAAAGATTAGTGTTAATGTTAACACAAATGAGGACATTTAGAAAGAGAAGGGAAATAGGATTTTGTAATAGGCTATATCAAGTACATTGTGTAGCAGAAGGAAGGGAAAACAGAGTATTACATCTAGAATTCAGAAATTTTCTTAGAACCATTTATTAAGTATCTGCTCTCTACAAAGCTCTGTGCTAGGCACTGGGGATAAAAAGATAGACCCTGCTCCCTAGAAATTTATAGCCTAATGGGAGGAAAAGATGTATAAAAGCTACTGTGATACAGTAGCATATGAGATAAATGCAAAGAAAAACAAAGTACTATGAGAAATTTGAGATGGACAGGATAATTTTTCACCAGGGAACAGTCCCTGGAAAAGGTACCACCTGATTTGGATCTTGGGGAGAAAAAGGAAGCCCTCAAAGAAAATATCCATCCTGAATGTTGTAACCAGACAATTAGAATAGATGTGTTAAATAGAGAAAAAGTTAAAAAGCAAGGGGGACTAGATCCCTTCAATTATATAAGCCTCTGAAGCATGTAGTATTGACTACTGGCTTTCTACTTCCAACCCTTTAGATCACTTAAGATAAAGTATTTCCTACCATAAAAATAACATGAAAGTGATCTCTGCAGGCAGGTTGATATTTGTCAGTTACGTGAGTGAGTAGAAGTACAGAAATGGACTGCACTTTTCCTAGAAAATTTATTGTTGTGCTGTCTTTTCAGTCATGTCCAACTCCTAGTGACCCCATTTAGGGTTTTCTTGGCAAAAATACTTGAGTGGTTTGCTGTTTCTTTCATCAGCTCATTTTACAGAGGAAAAAGAGGGTTAAGTTACTTGCCCAGGGTCACACAGCTAGTAAGTGTCTGAGGCCAGATTTGAACTCAGGAAGATGAGCACTCTATCCACTGTACCACCCAGCTGTGTCATTTCATAAAAAATGAACACACCCACAGAGTAAAACATCTAGATAAAGTACTACCTGAGAGTGGTAGAGGTTATTACAGTAAACTTAAAAACACTATTTTATATTGTTGCAGTGGAATTAAGTGGCATCTTATGTTACTTGAAACAAATAGACTATCATGGGCTTATTATACTGGAATTTCATTAAATGGTATCTGTTCTACCAAGGTCTAACATATTATTTACCTATTATACTTAAAGGGTCATAGTATTATGTCTTGTGTGTAGGAAGTATTCATAAATGGATGATTGAATTTATTATGGGGATACCAATTAGGAAGGTACCATTCCCACAAGTTGTTATACTTTTCTCCCAGCAAGTACTTTGCACTGCTCCAGTCCAAGTCTTGGATGACTATACACTTTTCTACTCCTCCTAGCCTTCTAAACATTTTCCAAGATAAGGTGGAGACATGTTGGAAATAAACCTTGAGTCCTCATGCAGTTGGCTGCCCTTTTGAAGACCTCTCTGATAGAGGATCATTCACTTCTTCCCCTTTCCAAGGACAGCATAACTCTCCCTTTCACAAGGCTTCCCATAGTTGCTCCTAGTTGAGGGGTCCACACCAGGCAGTTTGGCTTGGTTCATTGATGGATGTTTATGCTTCACCACAGGGTACACACAGCTGTCGCTGTGACCTCTACACCATAGGGTCCTCTGTAGCGAATGAATGCCCTTTCATTGATTCAGCTCCTTGAGTAACCTGACAGTGAATCCAATCTTTGTACACTGTTTCTTAGATCCTGCCTGGGGTCAAAGTGGTCATTGTTAATCCAGAAACCAAAGGGCCTGTTGGAGATTCTCATCTTGGAGAGGTATGTATAAATTCATTCTTTGATTTGGAAAGAGAGCCAAGACATCAGATTCTTTTGCAGTCATATTTTAGGCTCCACTGAAACTGTCTGAATTAGTCTCCATTTCATAGTAAGATCCTGGCCTTTCCCTATGAGCAGGTAGCTAACTATTCTAAGGGCACTGTGGTGTTGAGTGTTGGTGAATAATGCACAGTGGTGAAAACAACAGCATTTCTACCACTATCTCTTTTTCTTTTCTTTTTTTTTTTCAGCCAAAGACAAGGTTTATTAGAACATCCCTCATATTGGGCAGACTCTTAAGGAGTCTGAACATTAATAAGCTATTGGCTTATTGGCTAGATTATAAGAATCTAAGCGGTGGCTAGATTATAAGAATCCAAGCATCTTAGACCTTATATACAGAAAGACTATGGGAGGGATCTTGGAGTGGCCAAGTAGTCTATGAGGTAATAGAACTCCAGGGGTGGCTAAGGGAGAATGGAGCCTAGTGTGGGAAGTGGCCTGGGGCCATAGGGAGGTATGGAATTATAGCCTCAGGAGAATGCCAGAGATTTGGCCATGTGGGAAAGTCCATGGTTTTTCCTTTTTGGGGTCTAGATCCCATCCTCATCATTCCCCCCTCAAACAAATGGGACCCAAATTCTTTTGGTGTAAGGGGCGAAGGTCTCGTCTTCTGAAACTGCTTTCTGCTGGCAAGGGGCATAGAGCTGTCCCTGCCTTGAGGGGGTCCCAAAGAGGAGGTTGACTGGAACCAAGCACAGGCTGCATCCAGGAAACGATGGGAGCACGTTGGCTGTTATCCGCTGTTTGCTACCACTGTAGGTGAATGGCCCATAGTCTGGAAGACACAAATCTGACAGAAAAAACTGCAGGGCCCAGATATACTAGATTTAGGGCCCAACTTTGAGAGGATAAAACATCCTTAGCTCTGTTTGGATTCAGATAATTCAGTTTTCCAACCATGCACTATCAAATCCACCTCATAGCCAGACTCAGGTATAGCCAGGTGGGTAACATTCCCTTTCAAAGGAACATAATGGGGAAACTGAGCCAGGAGGATCCCATCTTAGACTGAGGCTAAAATTGTCCTCTCAGCTTTTCCTGATGCTGACTCCCCACCAGTATCACCTTCTCTTGAGTAGCTTGTGGCATTTCTTTCAGATGGGGGATTATTGATTATCGATGAATTATGACCTATCAGACAACTCAAAATAAAATCCTATGAGCTTTTACCTCAAACAATAAGTTTTACTAATCACAGCTTAGGAAGAACTTTTCCAGGATTTACATCTCAAACTTAAATTTGTCCTGGTGTAAAAAGCCAATCATTAGAGAATTCTGTACACTTGCAAATTCTCAGCAAGCCATACATAACCCAAACAAACTTTTTGGGTTGTTTACACATTAAAACAATAACCAACAATAGCTAAATTATTTTATCAGTAACCGAATTATGAAAAGTTGCTTGAAAACCCATTACCAATCAGATTACTTCAGTTTTGTTAAATGCACTTCCAAATTACTTTACACAGAGAATCAACATCTCATCATTAACAGTTAATCAGAGGTGAGGGGTAAAGGGTGAAACTCTCTTCTCCTATGAGAGGGGTTAACAGATACCCTTTTGACTCAAGGGAAAGAAGTGAAAGAAAAGAGTGACCAGGGTTGTAAGGAGTTTCAAAACTCCTTAATGATCAATCACAAAACCTCCAGAATCTGCCAAGATGTTTTTAGCTGTTCTAACTTTCCCTGTAACCTCCATGAAGGAGGATTCAGAGGTGCAGAGGGAGGGAGTAAGTCTCAGGGAACCAAAAACCAACTGCAGTTTTCCCCAATTCCCTAGCGCTGAGGAAATTAACAGAATTGAGCATACACTTCCAGATAGGGCGTCCGTCCTTGTCTTCTGTGCTGCAGAAGGTGTACCCTGGTCCATGGCCTTGAACCGACCCAGTGGACCGAGAGCCTGAGAGCGTCAGGCTGAGTGCAAGACAGACTCGTAACTGTCTGCCAGAAAAGCACCTCCAAGCCTTGGTGCTTGGAGAGCGACCCCAGCTGCAGAGCAAGAAAGGAGGGGAGGAGGGGGAGAGTTATGTACATTTCAGTCTTGGCTGGAGAAGAACTTGGGGTCAGGCAGTTTCCCCGTACGAGCCACCAAAATGATGCAGTTTAGGGGCTTAGGGGTACTGGGAGCCAAAAATCACAACACGCAGGTCCTATCCGAAAGAATTCAACCCAAGCCTTCTTTCAGCCAAAGACAAGGTTTATTAGAACATCCCATCATATTGGGCAGACTCTTAAGGAGTCTGAACATTAGTAAGCTATTGGTTTATTTGCTAGATTATAAGAATCTAAGCAGTGGCTAGGTTATAAGAATCTAAGCCCACTTCCTCTTTTTCCAAAGGAGCATAGCCACAGTAATGTAGCCTAGTGGAAAGATGCCAGGCTGGGCATGGATAGGCTTGAGTTTGAGTCTTAGTTTTGCTGCTCACTGATTGCAAGTTCTAAACACAAAAAACAGTCAGTTGATGGGATGAGGGGATTTTAGAATCATCTAATTGATTAACAGGATTGTTCATGCTTTGTGGGAAACTGACTTATGTACCTCTCTGCATTGTAGGTTTGGGTGAACAGCCCTCACACAGCCAGTGGCTACTACACTATCTATGATAATGAAACTCTCCAAGCTGACCATTTCAACACTCGGCTCAGTTTTGGGGATGCTGCTCAGACACTCTGGGCAAGGACGGGATACCTTGGGTTTGTTCGCCGAACTGAACTTACAGCTGCCACTGGAGGTATGCCTCTGATGAACTCCTCTTTTTCTTTGCTTAGGTTTCAGTTGTGGAATTAATTTACCTTCCCCTTCACCTGGAATGCTGTTTTGTTTCAGGAAATTTAGTGACTTCTTTCAGTGGTTGTTGAATATGTAAATAAAGTGATATTCATTTGCAGGTAGCATTGTACCCCTTAAGAGAGTGTCCAGAAAGCAAGAGGTCATAGCCTGAGTCATGGTCCCATATGAGAAAATGGTAATATTTTTGTGGAGGGGGGCAAGGATACTTGTGTCAGGGCCCAGACACAGCTAAGGGTACCCAGTCCCTAAAAGAGTTAATTCCCAAACTCCAAGCCAGCTCCTTGAGATTTGGGGGATGTTCTGTGTTCCTGTGGCCATCAGGAGGTTGAAATTGTTACTAAGAATTTAAATCCCTTGCAATTGAAACTCATTTCTGTAGTGTTGCCAGTCAATCCGCAAGGATGACTTAAGCATCTGCTGTGTGGAATGTCAATGACTATAGTCCCTGCCCACAAGAAACCTATTGTTCTTAGGTTCTATCTTGTCAGTATCCCACCCACTAGCAATTAAGAGGTGATTGCTTCCCGACTATGAGTTGGACTAGAGGGCCAGTGAGGTACCTTCTGACTCTCGAATTCTGTAATTCTGAGTATAGATGGCAGTTTTATTATACAGTGTGGCATAATATTGGCCTCTTATTGCCATCTATCTTGGTTACACTGTAGTCATCTTTTACCCTTTGACTGCTGTGGACTAAATGCTGGCCGCTCTCTGGTTGCCATTAAAAAAGTCAACTTTCAGAACCCCATTGTTGACCACATTACTTATATTCCCTAAACCCTCATGTGGCTCCATTGCCCACCAGGAAAGGGCTATGGGATATAGGTTTAGAGCTGGAAGAGAGCTTAGAGATCATTTAACCTAAATAGATAGCCAAAAAGGTTAAGATCCCACAGGTAGTAAATAGCAGAGGCCAGATTTGAACTCAGGTCTTCTAACTGCAAATCCTGCACTCGTTTGGCTAAATGGCGCTGCCTCTAATTGATCGTGAGCCTCAGAAGCATTTCTGAGGATGATCCATCCTGCTTGACTCTTTTAATCATCTGCCCTGGTCCTGTTTGTACCCCTTATTCCTGTTGAACTAACTCCCCTGTTTTTCTTTTATTCCTGTCTCTTGCTTGTGGCATTCATTTTTAGAACCACCTATCCATCTGTCCAGCAGACTCCTTTGGCTCCTTCCAGCCCACTTCACTAAAACCACGTAATTTCAGAGATCAGGTCCAAATTTCCATCTTTTCTGTTGCCAACCTGAAAAAGAATCATCTCTAAAGCACTTCCAAAAACTCAGCCTCTGCTTAGAGGGCTCCAATAAGAGAGAACCTACTTCTTTCACCCACTGCTTCCAGTTTAACATATGGAGCCAAGCAGAACAAATCTAATCGTTCTTCCCACTTGCTAGCCCTTCTGAGACTTAGCCCCTCTACCCCACCCTACCCCCTCCTTCCAGGTATCCTCTTCTCTAAGCTAGACAATCCTCTGCTACTTCAGCCAGTCCTCAAAAGGCATGTTCTTCAGGCTCTTCTCCATCCTGGTTGTCATTCACTACTAAACATTGTCCATCTTAACAATGCCCTTCCTGAAATATAGCACCCAGAACTACTGAACAGAATTCTCCAGACATAATCTGGTCCAAAAAGAGTATAACAGGACATCATCATTTTTGGATTTTTTTTCTCATGTTAACCTAAGATCTCAGCTTTCTGAGTTGCATTATCATACTGTATATTCACTGAGCATATAGTCCACTAAAATTCTCATATCCTTTTCAGATAAACTCGTCTAGTCACGATTTATTCACCTTGTATGAACAGAATTTGTTTTTTGAATCTGAGTTTGAGACTTTTATTCCTATTGAATTTTGCTTAGATTCAGTCCAGTGCTCTAGCTTATCAAAATCTTTTTTTGGATCTTGATTTTTATCCTGTGTGTTAGCTATTCCTTCTAGCATTTAGTCATATGCAAATCTTACAGATATACCATTTAGGCCTTTATCCATATCTTTGGTAGAAATCATAGTTGGAGTAATAGATCTAGAGTTGAACAGGACCTCAGAGTCCTTCATTTTACCAGTGTGGAAACTGAGGCTCAAAGATATAAAGTGAACTTACCCAAGGTCATATTGGTAGTTAGTATCAAAGGTGAGAGTCCTCTGACTATAAAATCAGTACTCTTTCTACCATACCATGCTGCCTCCTTTTAAATAGCACAGAGCCAAGCACAGGACACTTTCCTGGAGAACTTCCAAGTCAACATTGAACTGTTGATTACTTATTTGGGGTCTGGCTGTCTTTTTTCCCCCAAAGAAACCTCCTCTTACAAGTGTTAAATTCAGAAACCTAATGGAAAAATAGTTTCCTTATCTTATACATAGGTGGTATATTGGCATAGCTTTTTCTGTGTAGTATTTTTTTGGCAGTGTTGTTCGGACTAGAATTAAGGATCATTGTGGGCAAGGATCTTATATGTAATCTTTTTCCTTCAATCTAGGTGTCCTAAAGAAGCTTGGGTAAACTAATAATACATATGTTCTGTTTCTCATCTTTTAGAGCGTCATGATGCATTATATGTAGTAGGAGCCCTGGATGAAACTCTAGAGCTGAGAGGATTGCGTTACCATCCAACTGATATAGAGACCTCAGTCTCACGGACACACAGGAGCATTGCTGAATGGTAAATTTTCCCAAGAGAATCATTCTTCTGAACTCCCCAGTCCCCACTGCTACCATGTTTCCATCCTAGGTTTAACAGGTATTTTAATCCAGTTACTTAACACTCAGTAATGAAGTACTCACTGCTTATAAAACTCTCCAGGTAACAAGAAGAAAGAATAAACTCATAATGCCTGCCTATCTTTAGAAAATGTTCAAATTTAGAAAAAGAACACAGCATACATGTATGCTCTACAAATTCAGTTTAGTTGGACAAGGCAGGTCATCCAACTGTTTTTCTCCTCTTGAGCTTTCTTAACCCAGATTCATCCTTCATCTATCAACATGTCTGTCAAAAGTAAAATTGCCTTAAGAATCTCTGCCTTGTAGCATTTTGCAACCAAAAAGCTTGCTTTAAGAGGGCCTGTAGTTTGAGCTAAGACTGCGAAAGAGGAACTTGTGGTTTATAGTTAGCCATCAGATCTCTCCCACTCCATCTACCACCATCCCCCTCCCCTGAATCCTCCAGCTGCCAGAAAGGGAAACCCAACCTTAGAAGATTACACTACTCAATTTGTACTTAACCTGTAGTTCAAGGAGGAAAAAGAGGAACTTAGCCTTTATAAAGTCTTATAATCCTATGATTATTTTATTCCTACAAAGATATATTTTTTTTACTTTAAATTATCTGCTACTAAATAATAAATTCTTATCAGTCTGTCTATTCACTAAATCTATAGATAAGCCAGACTTAAGAGATTATCTTAGTTGATAGGGCTAGCTTTTCCTAAAGAAATAAAAATAATCAAAGTATCAATACTAACTGATTTAAAGGGTATTCCTTTTCTGAATGTGGTCACAGGGAATCAGATTGACCCACTCCATCCAGGAACAATAGCAAAATTGATTTTTTTCATGGTTTTAGAACTAGAAGTGGAGGGAATTGATTAGTCTGTGAAGGTGGTAGACAGGGAAAGGAAGGAATGAAATGTGAGAGTGATTTAGAAATGGTCATCACCAGTCATAGAGTGCAGTCCAGGAAAGAAGTTTCTCTATGGCAGAAGTTCTTCATCAGGGATTCTTGAACTTTAAAAAATATATATTTTGACGATGTTATTTTAATATAATTGGTTTCTTTTGTAAGCCTTTGTATCTTTATTTTATGCATTTAAAAATATTATTCTGAGGAAGGGGTCCATAGGCTTCATCAGAATGCCAAGGGAGACATTTTGAAAAGGTTTAAGTACCCTTGCTCTCTTCTCTTATGGAGGCAGCAAGGTACTTGCTTGATAAGGCTATGGAGGAGGTAGCTGTAGAAAAAACAATACAACATTGTGGTTGTGGCTGTCCTTTGTGATCTCCATTAAGAAAATATCATCCACATTTTCTGTCAGGCCAGGCAGTCTGTAAAGTAGTTCCACAGTATCAGTTCTCTCTCTAATTATATCTTCACCCAACTTCTGGCTTCCATATATCCATGCTTTTGTAATAGTTTTTCAAATGAATATTTACTTTCTTGATCTAACCATGCTACCCACTGCCCTTTCCATTAAATCTTTTCTTTTAAACTAGGTTAGGCCCTCTTCCCACTTCCATTTTTGAATCATGTGTCAATGTGCTATAGTAGATAGAGCTCTGGACTTAGCAATAGGAGACCTATGTTAAGTCTTACCTCTGTCATTGACTGCCAATGTGACCTTGACCCACTTACTTAACCTTGGCCTTAATTTCCATAAATGTAAAACCAGGATAAAAATAGATTGTATACTTCACAGTCTTATTTTGAGGATCATATGAGAATGTATGTAAAGGGCTTTTAATTCTGTATGTAAAATATTATATAATGTAAAAAATTATGTGTCTCATTTCAATAAGTCTCAATACATATGGGTTTATATTTATTTCTTTTGTTAAAATTTAAAAGTCACTGTTTATTGTCCATAGTATGTGAATTCATATATAGATTTCTGAGGTTACAATCTTTTCCCCTATTTCCCCTAAGAATTACTGGATACATCTTCCACAGTTGTTGCTTTTTCTATATCATTCCTGTTGCTCTCTATAGTATGTGAGTTTATAGTTTTTTGTGAACATTTTTCTCCCCCACAACCTCTAAATTTTACTTTCAAGCCCTTGTGATCAGATCGTTAAGTCTTCTGCCAACTATATTTTCCCCAGCCCTTGTAAGTTGCACACTTTCTCAGGGAACTGAGACTTTGGTCGTGTAAAACCTGGTTTAGAAGACCAAATTCCATTTCTCTGGTCCATTTATGCAGCCAGCAAATTTTTCGCTTCTCACCTTTTCCTTTCTCTTTCAAAGTCATAACAATCAACTAGGAAAAAACCAACATAAAACCACTACCTGTGTGTTCCCAAGTCCTTTATTTTCCTGTGTAGGATTTTGTGGTTCTTAGAAATACAGTCTATCCTTCTGTTGGTTATATTATTCACTTCCATGTTAGTCATCAATAGATAGAGCTTAGGAAATCAGAAAAGCATTTATTATGTACCTACTATGTGACAGCCAACAACCACTGTGCTAGGAAAAAGACAGGGGACATTATTATATTCTGTGTGTGTGTGTGTGTGTGTGTGTGTGTGTGTGTGTGTGTGCGTGTGTGTACGTACCACTAATTACAAGGTATTTGGATTAAAGATAGAGAAAGGGAAAGCACCAACAGTTGACAGGATCAGGAAGGACTTCAGGTAGACGTACTCGAGCTACATATTATTCTGTAAGGTTGAGATGAGAAGGAAGTTTATTCTAGACATGAGCAATAACCAGATGGAGGGAGATGATATATGTGAGAAAGAGGAAAGATCAAGATAGTTGGACTCTAGTATGTGGGAAGAGAAACAATGTATGATAAGACAAGAAAGATTAATTGGGGGTGGGAAGGTTTGACTTTAAAAGTCAAATAGAGAAATTATGTTTTATCCTATAGGCAATGGGGAGTCACTGACTAGAATAAGTGATATGAACAGTTCTACATCTCAGGAAAATTATTTCTGCAGTAGTGTGGAAGAGAAATTGGAAAGGAGATCCAGAACAGAGCCTTGGGGTACACTTAGTTAGGGGGTGTGATATGGATGTGATCCAGCAAACAAGACTGAGAAGAAAGTGTTCAAATTGGTAGGAGAACCAGGAGAAGGTAATATCACAAAAACACAAAAGAAAGAGACTGTCTCAGAGGAAAAGGTGGTCAGTGGCATCAGATGCTAAAATGAGGACTGAGAAAAAGGACCATCAGATTTGGAATGACAAGATCATTCGTAATTTGGGAAAAACCATTTCAGTTGAGTGATCTGGTCAGAAACCAGATTGCAGAGTGTTCAGAAGTGAGTGGAAGGAGAGGGGATGGAGGCAACAAGTGTAAACGGCTTCTTCGAAGAGTTTGGCCTTAGAGAAAAGGAAAAAAATTATAGGGTTATCATTGAGGGGATGGTAAAGTCTAATCAAGGTTTTTAAGGATGGAAGAAAAGTTTGAAAATAGGAAGGGAATAGTAGATGGTGGTAGATTGATGATTAGAGAGGGATAATTGAGGGGGAAATCTTTTGGAAAGGATGGAGTAGGATGAGATGTTGGACATATGTGGTAAAAGGGTTGACTTTGACAAGGAGAAGAGCCACATCCATATAAGAAATTGCTAGAATAAAGGAGATGGTTGGGTGGTGATTTCAAGGGGTCTTGAGATGAATAATTTGAGAGAGCTTATGCTAAGTGGCTTCAGTATTTTTAATAAAGCAAGAAGCAAAGTCCTTAGTAGTTAAAGGCACAGCGGAAGGGGTGGTAGGCTTGAAGAAAGAAGACAAAATCTGGAACAAAGGCTGTGTTGAGTGGGATAGGGACTTTGAGCAAGATATGCCTCCAGGACAATTTCCTGACAGATCACTTAGATCCTATTTATTTTCTCTAGCATGTACATTAGGGGGACTGCAAGTAGACAGACCTTCAGGACTATGAAAGTAAAAGGCCTGAGACTGTACCACTGTTGCCATCCTAGAAAAATAAAGGCTGAGAACAAGTCTTGTTTTTCAGTTGTGTCTGACTCTTAATGACACCATTTGGGTTTTCTTGGCAAAGATACTGGAATGGTTTGCCATTTCTTTTTCTAGCTCACTTTACAGATGAGGAACTGAGGCAAACAGGATTAAGTGACTTGCCTAGGATGACACAGCTAGTCGGTGTCTGAGGTTGGATTTGAGCTCAGGTCCTCCTGACTAGCACTGGTGCTCTATCCACTGCACTACCTAGCTGCCCCCTCAGACCTTAACCACCAGCATTATAAAAGGGTGCCATTGTTTATTGTTAAAAGAAAGGCTTGGTTGCAGATTCCCCAAGGTCAGCAAATATAGATGATTGCCTTCGTTTGTAGATGACTGAAATTTCATTATGTACATTCAGCAAATGACAATGTTTAGATTAGACACCAAACTAAGCAATACAGTAAGGGTCCCTGTCTTGTTGGGATCCCTTGTTTCACTCCTCTCTTCAGACAATATTCACCAGTATCAAGGAGAGCAGGAGAGTTGTTGTTCAGTAGTTGGCATGTGAACATGTTAATACGAAAGGCTTAGCAGAATCGCCTCACACATCGGTTAGATCCTATTTATTTAGTAGCAAATCATTTATACCCTCCTCAGCTAGACTGGAGCAGTGAACAGAATAAGAATGAAACCAGACACGAATTACATTTCCAGTCCCTTTGACCTTGGCACTATCTCTAACAATAATAAGAGCTGGCATCTGTATAGCGCTGTAGGGTTGGCTGGTTAGTGTACATTCATCTTCTCATTTGAGATTGTAGCCCTGTGAGGTGGGAACTGTTTTACAGATAAAGAAACTGAGGTTGCCCAGAGTCACCAAGCTGGTATCCTAGATACGCTAATGCCTCTGTTTATTCCTACTGCTTTAGTAAGTTATCTAGAGGTAATAGAAGAAAAAGGTGTTTTGAGATTCCAGTTAGCCAGTGACAAAGACTTTCGTAACCATACCCAGTAATCCTAGCTTCAGTAACCTT